TACAGCTTCAGGACTGGAATGCTTCTACTTCTTCTGGGGCTTCGAGGGATTGCATTTTGCTTGCTGCATGTGAAGCACATGAAACTCTTCCTCAAAGTGCTGAATTTCCTGCTGATGTATTTACTTCATGCCTCACGACACCAATTAAAATGGCACTGCGATGGCAAGTATTTTCAAACTATTATTTTTTGACATTCTTATTCTCCTTTATTAATTATCTGGATTAACAAGCCCGGCAGTTTTTACAGTTCTCATATTGATTATTAGTATCTGCAGCCACAGAATTTAAACTTGACTTTCATGTGGTATGAAGTTTTCACTATGCAGTTCTCACTGCTCTTAGTTTTTGGCTGCTAATAATAATAATCTATTATCCATAAGGAAGCTTTCCTCTTCACTGAAACTGATTCCTGCTAGACTAATTGGGTCATTTCGAGTGTGGACCCATATATTGTAAGATTGATAATCTTGTTGACCCCACATCCCGTGTGTGGGGGACAGGTTGTCTGTTTGTGGACCTAACAAATATATTAGGCCTGCCAGGTTTGGGTAAAATTGGTTTTCAGTGATTTATAGGTCAGGTAACTTTTGGGATTGGGTTAAAAATGCTTAACCCTAATTGATTGGGTGTGGGTCAACCCAATAGGTCAATGTCACGTTCTACCTTCCGGTTTCTTGTCCAGGTTTATAGCGACTTTGCTTATATAATGCAACATAGCAAACCTATAGTTTTAACTTTTGATTTAATTATATACTACTCCGTAAGTGAACTTAACTTTATGACAAAATCAGAAATACACCTTCCAACTGCTTCTCAAGAATGTTCTGAAATCTGCATCAGACATTGACTAAAGAAGCTAGTGGGTCAAGTGTTAACTGGTCGAACTGGTCAACCTGAAGTCAACGACCTGATCAAATATAATTAAAATAATAATATTTTATATTATTATTTTAGATATTTTTAATTAATAAAAGTAATAATTTTAATATATTAAATTATAATTAGTAAATATTTCTTGATCTTTATGATGACTTTTTTAGGTATAAGTTATTTATATTTAATTATAGATAAAACATATATGATGTTTATTTTTTTCTTTAAATTATTTTTAGAAGTTTATAAAAAAATACTACACAATTGTGTTTCTTTTTTAGATAATTAGATGTTTTTTGAAATAGAAAAAGTCTATATACAAGCTATTGCATGAATTTAGCAACAACATGAATTTTAACACATGACTTTTGAGCTTATAAACTATAAGGAGACATAAACACGATATATAATGTTTTGGGCTTAAACCCACAGACCTCTGGGCCGACTTGGGCCATGCGGGTTGGCGGGTCAGATGGGTTTCTTTGGGTTTGGGTGAAACAGGTTATGGCACGATCTGGTTTTGATAACATTGCTTCTCAAGTCGCAACTCATTGGTTACATCTGAAATGGTTACTAAAACTTTGAATTTACAAATACCATCCAAACAATGATAATGTTTGTAGATTGAACCAAACCTTGGTGGATTGAATATTTGTTGGATTGAATATTTGAACCACTTTTAGTACAATTTGTATGAACTAGATTTTGACAAGGTTTAATGAATGCATAAGATGGAATAAAGCAAAATGGCTCTTTCAACTGGATGCGATTCTTTTAATCGTGAAGTATCAGTTGATCAATGCAACTAAATGAAAGGCGAGCGCCTTGGTCGCCTATGGCGATTACGGCACTGTGGCGACCCTCCAGCACCTGAATTTGCTCGAGTGAGGTGATATGCTCGAGGCACGCCATGGCGGTCACCATTTCCGATGAAAGCTATGGCACAAGGTGATCGCAACTCATGCCTTTCCGATCGCTGCCAATTTTATTTTATTTTTTCCACCTGTTCCTTCAGATTTGTCGCTGTATTGTTATCGATTAGCTGCTCCCTTTTCCGGCTTCTCATCGCAACTTGCAATTGTTATCGACTATTTGTCCTAAACCTACCCGGCCCAATCCAACCCAACCAGGTCCAGATTTCATTTAAATCTTAAAAAGAAAACCCTATCATGTTTGGCGTTTGCTATAAGCTTCCCCTGTGCATATATGGTCAGGTTTCAGTTATGTTTTTTATTAAACTTTCAGTTTTGCATTTTTGTTTATATTTATTTGTTTACGTTTTTTATTTTTCAGTGTTCCATTTTTTTTGTGGAATTCTAAGTACATAAATAAAATTTTAAAGTCATTTCATACAATATATTCAATTATTAATGAAACTATTTTTTTTAGAATAATAGTTCTCTTAGTTATTCTAAAATATATAATTCCATTAATAATTGAATATATTGTATGAGATGACTTCAAATTTTTTTTATGTAATAAGAATTCCAAAAAAAATTGGAATACTGAAAATAAAAAAATGTAAACAAATAAATATTAAAAAAATACAAAATTGAAAGTTATATATATATATATATATATATAAAGATATATATACAATACATATACATATATGTATATACATATATATATGTGTGTGTGTGTGTGTATAGATTTTGCATCTGGTGAGAATGGGATCTTAGGGAAGAAATGAGAATGCATGTGGTGCTTTAGAATGTGAGATCTAAGGGCCATAAAAATTTCAAAAATAAGAAAAAATTATAAAAAAAACGCGGTGGCAGTTTCATAAATTAATTGAACTTTGTAAAATGCAATGCCTGCGTAGAAAAATGCACCATGGCGAACTACATGCTTTTAAAAATGCATCATTAGCGAGCAAAAATGCACCATTCTCATTTCTCTCCACAAGGTTCATTTTACATACATACATACATACATACATACATACATACATACATACATACATACATACATGCATACATACATACATACATACATACATATATATATATATAAAGGGGCCGGTTCAGGTGAGAATGCACCTTGGTGAAAGAAATAAGAATAAAATCTAGCCTTTGGATCTGATGCATCGTGCGGCTCAGATTGCATCTTGCACTCAGATTTTGAGATAGTACATTTTCAAAGGATTTTGGTGCATTTAGACATGACGCATTTTCAAACCACTTTGGTGCACCTAATTTTGATGCAATCTTGACCCTTAGATCTCACAATCTAACGCACCAGATTCATTTTTATTTCTTTCATAAGATCGCATTTTCACCTGAACCAAAATTTATATTCACTTTTTTTTGTTCGCCATTTGACCGCCCGCCACGCCTCTTGCCATAGAAAAGGTCTTCTCGCCACTTGCCAATCATAATATGCAACTAACAACCCTCTTCATGGGTCATCCAGAAACAATCGCTCTACGTTTCAGAGGTTGTGTACGTGATTACCTGTGGTGCTTGAGCAGGGTTTTCTTTGGAAACAGTCTCTCTACTTTCTAGGGATAGGGTCTGCGTACACACACCCTCCTTGACCCTACTTTTGTGGGATTCAACTCGGTTGTTGTTTGTTAGTGCATATGCTATTAAATCGACATGTGAAAAACAATCTTAATTCCCATCTTGAAGTAGTTCACAATACACATGGCCCTTGGTATCATGAAAAGCTGGAAACCAAAACCTAATAGGAACTTGCTTCTACATTCATAATCTTTCTCCCTAAGTAATGACGTCGTATCTTCTCCTCCTAATCCCAGTGTTTTCCTTCCCCATTTTCATTCTCTTCAATCTCATAATTGATAAGTACATGTGAAAAATTGAACACCAACCTTTCGTCATCGGAGTATTTGGAGAACCATCCCTCTTTTTCTCGGTTAGTTGCACAGTTTACTCAATCACTTAATGCACCACGGTTCTTTTGACAACAAACCATAATGTCGTAATATGACAAAAACTCCAACTACAGCGCCTATGGTGTGTCGTTTGTAAAATTGATGATTCCTACCCTGGCCTAGCCCCCCCTTCCCAAATTGCTGATTTGGCAGCCATTTTTAAACAAAAGCAGAATGCTGAAAAGAATACCTCTTTTTTGCACTATTGTTCCTAGAAATGATGAGATTGTTTCTAAATTTTTTATAATCCATCTGTCCACTAAAACCTATTCTACTAATTATATTGAGAGAAAACTCTGAGTAATGAGTTCAACAGCATTTAAATCTCATTCCTCAAATGTCATCTAAGAAGAGATTTTGAGTACAATAGTTTTATTAAATGCACTTATCTTGGGTAAAACGTCATAAGTATACTCCCTAATTAATCATTCACTGTATACCTTTGTGTTTTTCCACTAATGGAGTTTCTGTGACCAGAGGAAGTAACTGTCTTTTCTTTTTTTTTTTGCAACTTTTTAGGTTTTATTGTTTAACCAAGAATCAGTGTTAAATTAAGAATGGGGCATAAGGCCCTTGAGTATGCATGCTCTTAAATTTCAGATTCTATCAGGCTGTTTGTCTGTGTTGAAGCTCATCCTGCATGATAAACTTAGATTTGTTTTCTTGTTTTCTGCATGTTAATTTGTGTTCTGCTGTCTGGTGTTTCCCATAACTGCTAATTGCAAAATATGATAAACTGCTTCTGGAAATTGTGAAACTTGGTTTTGATCTTTACATTCTTCCTTTTTGGAGTTTTTGTTGAGTATTTGGCTGCGGACTTACTGCAGTATGTCATTTGTTTGATGACAAGTGATGTGTGTTTGCTTTCATTCTCAAAATTTTCAATGTTGGTTCTCACAGGTTTTGCAATCAATCTTTGTTGCGTGACTCACTTGATTATTCACTCATAGATAGAATTCCCGGTCGACAGACTGACCGGAAAACACTTCTTGGGGAATTGAACTGGATTTTTATGGCAGTGACACACACAATTGCTTGGAATGTTCTTCCCCATGGTAGTAAAATATTAATAACAGGATTAGTATGTGCTTCAGCAAATCTTATTTTGCATGGTTGTGTTTGTCTAACCTTGGATGTTTTTTGAATACATAGATCTGTTTCAGAGATTGTTCAGGCAAGATCTATTAGTTGCGAGTTTGTTTCGAAATTTCTTACTTGCTGAAAGAATTATGCGCTCTACAAATTGTTCCCCAATTTCATTCCCGTTGTTTCCACCAACTCATCAGCATCATATGTGGTAACTGAATATGGCTCTTAGAATATGTTCTATTTCAACCTTACATCATTCTTATTTAAGTTTACACGCTTTAGGGATGCATGGGACATGGCTGCTGAAATTTGCCTCTCTCAGCTTCCAGCATTAGTTGAGGATCCCAATGCCGAGTTTCAAGTGAGAATTATCAGTTTGTTCATCTGTTGTAAATACATATATCCAAATTTTCCCCACGGGTTAGATTTATGCAATTTTTGAAGTTTTTCATGAAGTGGTTGAATTTCATAGTAACCTTTCTTGCCCAAGGTTGATATTTTACACTTCAAAATTTGCAGCCTAGTCCATTTTTCACTGAGCAGTTGACAGCTTTTGAGGTTTGGCTGGATCATGGATCCGAGCATAAGAAACCTCCAGAACAGTTGCCTATCGTGCTTCAGGTATAAAGTTTCTTGATATTAATGAATAATGGCCACAATGTGGTTGTCTAACATAATAAGGAACCTTGGTAAACTTTTTGGTATTTAAGTTTAAAGCTTCTTTTTCTCATATCCATTGAAGTTGTGTGATGTTTTTAATCACTAATTGTTCTTCTAGTGTATGAATACATTTTTTGGATCTCTGTAACATTTAACATGAAGTGTAGCATAGCGATGCTAAAGCAAGATGTTAGTGCTATGCTGGTTGGTGATATAATCTTTCTTGGGAAAATTGTATACTAATCGTTATGTTATGGGTTAGATGCCTAGTTGTCAGACTAATGCGGTTGTTGCTCCCAATAATTGCAGTTTAGTTGGAGTCGTTTGTGCTTCTTATTCTGTTACTTATTTAATGTTGGTTTTATGTTACCTTTAGCTAAAAAAAAGTATTCATATGCAAAATTACTGGTTCTACCTTTTCATTTAAGGTGTTACTTAGTCAATGCCACCGGTTTCGTGCTTTGGTGCTTCTTGGAAGATTTTTGGACATGGGCCCCTGGGCTGTTGATCTGGTACATCTTGGTGTTTTTTGATGAAAACTTGTCCAAGATTTTCAAGTCAAATATTCAATAGTTTACTCAACCATTTCTTGTTCGTCTAGGCATTATCTGTTGGTATATTTCCATATGTTTTAAAGCTATTGCAAACAACCACTCCTGAACTTAGGCAAATTCTTGTCTTTGTATGGACAAAGATTCTTGCACTTGATAAGGTACACTTCAAAATTTCATTTCTACTTTTTTCAAGTAACTACTTTCAAACGCTTTCTTATTTTCCACATTAAATACCCTCCATGACATTTCTTTATATCATGTCCGTCTTTTCATTTCTCCTGACACTTGTGTGGAATAAAAAAGAGAAGAGAGGTTATTTGATACAATACTAACTATCAGCATAATTGTGCTAACAGTCTTGCCAGGTTGATCTTGTAAAGGATGGTGGGCATACATATTTCACCAGATTTCTTGATAGTATTGATGCCTATCCAGAACAGCGGGCTATGGCTGCATTTGTTTTAGCTGTCATTGTGGATGGTTACAGACGGGGTCAGGAAGCTTGTATTGAAGCTGGCCTTTTGCATGTCTGCTTAAGACATCTTCAGGGGTCTGCATCAAATGATACACAAACTGAACCTCTTTTTCTTCAGTGGTTGTGCCTATGTCTTGGAAAACTATGGGAAGATTTCACTGAGGCACAAATGATTGCTATACAGTCAGATGCACCTGTGATATTTGCACCTTTACTTTCTGCACCCCAACCTGAGGTTTCTAGCAGCCAATATCACTTTCCCTTTGTTTATCTCCGATGCAGAGTCTAAACTTGATTTTTGTATTTTTTTTAATACCAGGTTCGAGGTGCTGTTGTGTTTGCACTAGGCACTTTGCTAGACATTGGGTTTGGCACATCCAATGATGGTGTTGGAGGAGATGAAGATAGTGACGTTGATGAAAAAGTCAAGGCTGAAGTTAGTATTCTTAAGAGCCTTATGAGTGCTGTCTCTGACGGAAGTCCATTGGTTAGAGCTGAGGTTGCCGTAGGTATGCAGTATATTGATTTCCGTTCTAGTATATTTGGTTTAAACGCCCCATTCCCTAAGCAAAAAGAACTTACCCTATGTTTGGTTCAAGGACATTTGGAAGGAAAGGAAAAGAAAATGATTTCTCCTGTTACTCACCAAAATGGAAGAAATCAAGTTTTCCTTCTTAGTCTATTTTTTTCTCATTTTCTTTTCTTTCTACTTTTCTTTTATTTTTCCTCTACCCAAACTTGAAAATTTGCTTTCCAATTTCTTTTTCTTTTCTTTTCCCTCCCAAATTCCTTGAACCAAACACTGTGTTAGGGAAAAGAAAAATGTGAAGCTTTTAATATACAGTTATGACATTTAATGGAAGAAATAAAAAAGTGTCAAATCCTTTTGTTTTCTCGAGGTGTCCTTTGATTTATTTACCCTTCACAATCAAGTAAACCAAATCAAACATACCTAGTATATTCTACTCGGAAGTAGAGTCGGGGAGGTTATGATGTACTCAGGACTTATCTCTATCCCTGGGAGTATAGAACTGTTTCCAACTTTCTGTGGAGACCTCTGAAAAATTGACAGGTAATGAAAAGTATTGTAAAGTGCTCAAGTGAATAGTTTAAACCGTAGAACATTTTGTGGACACATAATTTATGTCCTGCACTCCTGCCCCAACATTCACTGTTTGCCTAATAATGAAATTCTCTATGAAATTGCAAAGTTCAGTAGGGCACTTAATGTCAATAACCCACATTCACAAGTCCATATTTGACTTGCATTTAACATTTCATTTTGTTTTTCAACATCATTGCAGCTTTGGCGCGGTTTGCATTTGGGCATAATAAGCACCTGAAGTCTGTTGCAGCCACATATTTGAAGCCTCAAAACAATTCTGTGCTAACATGTTTGCCTTCTTTTTCTGTCAAGAGTTCAGGCAGTGGATATACAACTCCAACACATTATGTGCCTCATGGAAGTATCTTTCCAACTCTGAGAGCTCCGTTGTTGAGAGTTGGAGGTGAAAACCAATCTACCATTCGGGATGGGGGAGTCTCTAGTAGCAGCCCCCTTGCTGCACCAAGTATTATGCATGGGTCTCCCTTGTCTGATGATTCATCTCAACATTCTGATTCTGGCTTATTAAATGATACCATTAGCAATGGCATTTTGAACCATACAAGACCACTAGATAATGCATTGTATTCTCAGTCTGTGTTAGTTATGTGTACCCTGGCAAACGATCCATCACCACGCATTGCGGGCCTTGGTCGGCATGTTCTGTCCATAATTGGCATTGAACAAGTGGTTGCCAAATCTGTCAAGTCTACCAGTGAATTTACTGCAGCTCCTAGCACTAGTTTTGCAGGACTGGCTCAATCATCTTCATGGTTCGACGTGAATGGAGGAGGTATCTAACCTGCGCATTCAAACTAATTTAGCAATTTTTGGCAGTTTCAGTTTATGTGCATTTCTTTGGTCAATAAGGAACTTCGCTTGCCACTATTTTTTTGAGGTTTCATTTGATTGCTGCAGCCAGTCATCTGCCTTTAACATTCAGAACTCCTCCTGTTAGCCCCCCTCGTGCCAGTTACATGACTGGACTACGAAGAGTTTGTTCGCTTGAGTTCAGACCACACTTGATGAGCTCTCCAGACACTGGGTTGGCTGACCCACTTTTGGGTTCAGGTGGACCTTCTGGAACGTCTGAGTGCAGTTTCCTTCCACAATCTACCATATACAATTGGAGCTGTGGCTACTTCTCAAAGCCACTTCTTACTGCAGCGGATGACGGTGAAGAGATAATCAGTAGAAGAGAAGAGAGGGAGAAGATGGCCCTTGATTTGATCACAAAGTGCCAACACTCTAGTATGCCTTATTAAGTTCCCATTTTTTTCAATATCCCATTTCCGCGTTGAGTTTTTGCAGAGTCATGTTGCTTTTTCATTTTTTATCTGAATGTAGACTTCGGGTGTTCTAAAGTTTTTCTTCCGTTGTCAGCCGTGAGCAAGCTCCATAACAAAATTGCCAGCTGGGATACAAGATTTGAAACTGGTACAAAAAATGCCATCTTGCAGCCATTCTTGCCATTTGTAATTGCTTCAGATGAGAGTGAAAGAATCTGGTAAGGAAACATATTTTCCTACCTTGGGTATGTAACTGTTATAAATTTATAATACAATTGACCCAAAACTCAGTTGGACTTCTGGAATGTAGAATGTAAATATGAAACTCTTTCATTGATAAGATCTTAAGAATGAGATCAAGAGTAGTGCTAGTTCAACAAGTATTTTAGGGGAACTGATGTTTTGGAAGAAGAAAAGTTTATCACTCTCATGCTTTAAGGAGAAATGATATGCCATCGTCTGTTAATTGGTATCACACTATAGCTGCATTTCTTGACACATAATTTACGGAGGTCATTCTTAAGTTTGACTATTGGCCTATTGGGTGAAGTAATGAATGATTCATTGTAAGGAATTTGTCTATGGGAATTTATTAAAATAGTAGTAAAACATAGAAAATATGCCAAAATTGAAGTTCCATGTTTTTATTTCAAAAATAGGAGTTAAAATGCTTTTACAATGCCAATCATGCCAATATATAATACCAAAAAGTATTGCGAAATGTCCATATACTCTGTCACATTATCACAATGCAAACTCCTATTTTGAAGGAAAAAATGGAGCTCCTATTTTGGTACTTTCTCTATGTTTTACTCCTATTTAGGGTGATTTCGTTTTGTCTAATTTGAACTTTATAATTGATTTTTGAATGTAAATTAAATTTGTAAAATGCTGGTATGATAAGGAAGTGGAGCAAATTATGACTGCCATTTAATTTTTATAATTTATCTTCTATTCTTAAATGTTCCATAAAATTGTTTATGGTTGTTAGGGTGTGGAATTATGAGGAGGCAACCCTGCTTAACAGCTTTGATAATCACAGCTACCCTGACAGTGGAATCTCAAAGCTGTGCCTTGTGAATGAGCTCGATGAAAGTTTGCTTCTTGTTGCTTCAAGTAACCACAGGGCATCCTTTAAAAACTAGATTTTATGTTAAGACTGTGTAATGATCAACACTGCTGTTATTTCTTGCAGGTGATGGCAACATTCGCATTTGGAAGGATTATGCATCAAGAGACCGACAAAAGTTGGTCACTGCATTCTCATCAATTCAGGGTCACAGAGTGGGTATATGTAGTGTGAATGCTGTGGTGGATTGGCAGCAGCAATCTGGTTGCCTGGTACACTTTGATTAACACGAGTAATAGAAAGTTTAAAGCTGATGTCATGCGTGTGTGTGCGCGACTGATTCTACATACTCCCACTGTCCTATTATCTCATTTGACTTGGCATGCGCTTAAAAAAAGTGGAAACTGTGTCTGAGATTTATTCAAAAGCGAAATAAGATGAATCATATAATATTTTCTTTCAAAAGGAAGTAATAAAGAATTTTGGATGTACTAAAAGGGAAAGAATGAAGAGATAGGGGGGGTGGGGACCATCGATTTTACGAACGGAGCATCGTAGGTACCCCAATTGAACTAGTGTTGTCGTGGGTGTAACATTATCCCCCTCTATATGTCTCTCTCTCTCTCTCTCTCTCTCTCTCTATATATATATATATATATATATATATATATATATATATATATATATATAGGATTGACTCCAGTCAGATGACACTTATTGTATGATGACATGCTTCGGTTAGATGACGTAAAGCTCACCACTGCCAACTACAAAGCTCTCTCGCATCAACTCCAAAGCTCACCATGTTTCTCAACACCTTGTTTTTTTATAAAAAAAATAATCAAAGGAGTGGACTTTGATCCATGTTGACTGAACTTTGAACACTCACTGCCGCCTGCTGCTGCCGGTGGCTTGTCTATGACGCCGCTGGTCTCCGATTGCCGCCGCTGACCGGTGTTGCTTTTTTATTTTTAAAGTTTAAAAAATGGTGACTTTGTGTTCAAAGCAGTGAACTTTGCTTCAGTTCCAGGTGAGTTTTGCATTAGCAATTGGTCGTGAGCTTTGCAGGGTAATGTGGTGAGCATTCTGAACAGTTTTTTGTTTATTGTTGTCATCTGACTAGAGTCGATCATGTGTGTGTGTGTCTACACACACACACACACACACACACACACATCTGTGTGTGTGTGTGCGCACTCTTACCTGCCTATATGTCTATTGTATTAATTATTCTTCATTCAAATGTGACATCTTGTCACTTGTGTATATTCTTATATAACTTGCTTATGCTTACCTCAGTTTTCATCTGGTGAAATTTCATCAATAATGGCTTGGGATTTAGACAAAGAGCAGCTTGTACATACTATTCCATCATCCTCAGACTGCAGCATTTCTGCATTGGCCAGTGCTTCATTATTCTCCCTGGATTTATTATGATCCATTATCCAGTTATAAAATAGTTTCAAATTTATAATTAGTTTCTTTTAAAGACAAAGTTCTTCTGGCCTCGTGCAGTCTGCCTCTCAGGTTCATGGAAGTCAATTTGCAGCTGGTTATGTAGATGGATCTGTTCGGCTCTTTGATATCAGATTGCCAGACATGTAAGGCAATTTGTTTGTGTTTAAATCACATTTTAGTATATTTAAAATGTTCTCGTCATAATATAACCTGTGTGTTCTTCATAATTTGCGGTATATTTAAGATGTCAGATCTGCTGTTTTTTTGAACTATTCTACGACTTGTCTCATAGTTTCATTTTCCAGTAAATTGAGTATTTTCACCTCACTTCAATTGCATATGGACATGAATGGTGTCGATTGTTTTAAACCATATCAGTTACTGTCTGCTATGTATCGATCATATAATACACAAACTTATATGCATACATTGTTATAAACATAAACTTTCTGTCCAATGGTGTGTTTCAAACACTTATAAAAAATACATTTTAAAAATCCAGGTACAATTTATGATTTCTGACATGTTTGCCATATCAAATTTCGAAAGCTGTACAATGGTAAAAAAATGGCTTCTTTAAAAATACTACGTGGGTAGGAGGTAGTAGTTTTTTGAGAAAATATATAACACTATTGAGACTCGTTTGAAACTAATAGTCTGCATTTATGTAGGCTTGTTGCTACAACTCAACCACACACCCAGAGAGTAGAAAGAGTTGTGGGAATTGGGTTTCAGCCTGGACTACAACCAGCCAAGGTGAAAGAAGTGAAAGCTATACTTACCATCTGTTTTGGTCTTTTTGATACTTTCCTATTTTATAACAACGATAAAAACCGAAATGCATAGGAAGATATGAAACCAATTATATTTTTTGCTGTTTCTGTTCCAGATTGTGAGTGCGTCTCAGGCTGGTGATATTCAATTCCTTGACATAAGGAACGTGAAGGTTGCATACCTAACAATTGACGCCCACCGGGGATCACTGACGGCTTTGGCGGTTCATCGGCATGCTCCCCTCATAGCCAGCGGCTCAGCGAAGCAACTCATCAAGGTGTTCAACTTGGAGGGTGAACAATTAGGCACCATACGCTATCTGTCTACCTTCATGGCACAAAAGACTGGATCTGTTAGGTGTCTTGCGTTCCACCCTTACCAAGTCCTCCTTGCAGCCAGTGCTGCAGATTCTTGTGTGTCTCTCTATGCCGATGAGCTTTCTCCTCCAAGATGAGGACACAAACCATCACAAGTTCGGACACACTTTGAACATATTTATGTGACAATTAGGTCCCTTGCCCCATTTGTGTAGGTTTATCATATTCGTTGAGCCTCCATGACACACTACGTGCCTACGTGAATGTGAAGCTCAGGGGGTTAATTGACGCTCGTCATCCAGGTGGCTTATCTAATAATAATTTGATGCATAGGTAAAGAAAGATATAAATATCTCTCTTCTTTTGTTTGTTTTTTTCTGGCGCTGGCGGGTCACAAAGAACCAAGAGAGAAGTTATCGGGTCGTGGCTAACATCTGCATTAATTTCTTTTGATTGGCACGGCATTGGTCCACAAGATCGATGATACCTTCATCTTTCACACCCTACCAAGAGAAATGGAAGAGAAAGCCAGGACCTTAAGGATGAAAACACTTGCAGCAGTTTGGAAGAGTACATAGTCTTACTCCTAACACTCAATCCAAAGAGAGCCCAAGGGCTTGTTTGGATTACAGGGAATAGGGAGGGAGAACATTCATCTCTTTTGTTTGGCTAGTGAGTAAATGGGGGGTGGATGCTAAAGGGCAGATTTTCTTTCATCCAAATTGTTCTCCCTCAGAATCATAATCTTTTACGGAGTATAAAATAATACAAAATACTGTACAGTTTCCCTTCATTTCCTCTGTAATCCAAACAAGAGAATATCATCATCCTTTATAATCCCCTCCTTTCCTCTCCTTCAGTAAACTTATCTAATCCACATGAAGTATGGCCATTTTCTTTCCCTCTACGTTTCCAATCTCCCTCGAGTTCAATCCAAACACATCCTATGTGGAAATAACTACTTTGTGTGACATTAGAGACAAAAAAAGGGTGCATGTACTGTATGATCGTCGGAAAATTACTCGCGGGTGACATTTAGAAAAGAATAGGAAAAAAATACATTTATTAACGTTTATATATGAAATATTGGATGAAATGTCTCCTTCCAGTCATTACAACAAAATGTAAAGACCTTTGCTGTCTTCTTGAAAATAGAGGGACCTGAGAGTTATTTCAATAAAGCTCGCATCACCCGTGAGTAATTTTCTGCGAAAATCACTCATACTCCCTACGCCCCCATTTTATACCAGTAGAAGATGCCCAATACAATACATTACTATTCTCTCACTTTATTTATCCCTGTCATCTTCTTCCTTCTCTCCTCATAGAGCTTGAGCTCACCATTAATGGAGTAAACTCTATCTCATGTATATGGAACGTGATAAGTTTGATATTTAGTTACACCCTAAGAGGGGGTGAATTAGGTTGTTCCAAAATTTTTGTATAAACAAAAAGTCAAGCGGAAGTAAAGACGAAAAAAGTGCAAGAAAAATAATAAGAAACAAAAAGCACGACACGTGAAATTTTAGATTGGAACTCTCCACTTCAGTAGCTCGAAGCTCCTCTTCAAGGATTTAACCTCTATTAACTTGTTTGGCTTCACTTAGAAAACTTAAACGGGATTTGGCAAACAATCCTTACCAATACAACGGCTACCTTGATCGCCTACTAATGAAGATTTAAAGGTGATCTTCAACGTTACAAAACAATGAGAATTTATAGGTGTTAGAATAACGTTTAAAACAAATAGCAGGAAATTAAAATTGAAGTAAGCAAAAAGTGGAGAGCATAAAGAAAGACAACCCGAATTTATACTGGGCAATATGTGGCTAATTATCTAGTCCAATGAGAGACTCTCTCGAAAGTCTTACTAACTTTGTTAAGCAAATTTAAAAGTTTAGGAAGAATTGAAGAAATTTAGGAAGAATTGGAAGAATTACCTTAGGATATGTAGAGAGAGCGGTTGAATATGGCGAAAGGAAAGTGAACGGATTAGGCATGGACTAGGGTTTTAAGCCATTTAATCCCATTAGCACTACCTCGTTATTGGGCGTGTGGTATTATGGTATCGACAGGAGTCGGGAAGGTACAACCTGCTGGTTGGGGTACTGGTATAAGCAATTATGCTCTGGCGTACCCTGCACTTGGCGGTATCCTGGTATCGGTCCTACGGTATAGCCTACTGTTTGGATGATACGAGGTACCGTATCAGCTATTGGCTCTGTTATTGTCTTCCTTCTATTCGACTCCAAGACAAGTGTATTGAGCATTTTCGCCTGATTGATTTATTCAACTGTTTGAGAGTTTTGGAACCTGTAAATCATTGTAATTCAAGTATTCTCATTTCTCAACATATATGTAAAAATTATTTTTCATCAAGTGACTTTGTAAAAATGTCACGACGTTGTTCAAGTGTGTTTACATATTGAATTTGAATATCTCCTTTGTTTACCTGATCACGAATGAAGTGATGCCAAATTTCTATATGTTTAGTTCTAGAATGCATCATAGTTATTTTTCTTGAAATGTTTATTGCTCTTGAATTATAACAATAAATAGGTGCTTTTGTAAACTTTAGGTTGAAATCACTAAGTATTTGTATCATACATAGTATTTGAGGAGCACAACTTCCCATTGCCACATATTCCACTTCGGCGGTGGAAAGTGCAACTGAATGTTGCCTCTTAGAAAACCACTAGTGCATGACAAAAATTAAAATGTGCCATTTATGTTTTTCTGATTAATTTTACACCAAAATCTGCATCACTAAAACCAAAGAAGCTTAATCTAGTACTCTTAGGATTTCCTAGTCCCACATTGGTAGTTATTTTGACATACTTAATTATCCGCTTGATGGTGGTCAGATGTGATTCTTTGGTTGATGATTGGAAACGTGCACGAAGGCAAAGGGAAAACATAATATGGGGTTAAGATGCAATTAAGTAAACGCGATCATACCTCGATATACTTTCCCACTTATAGATTCCAAATTTGCAGCACTATCAAGTTTATTAAAGTGTTCATGGGTTGGCATATGACTTTGAATTTTCGAGATCAAATTTCTTGACTAGTTCCTTGGCATATTTACTTTGACTTATGAAGATGTCATCTTCAATTTAAGTTGCTTAATTTGCAGCCCCAGGGAAAAAAATTCAATTTTCCCATCATGCTCATCTCGAACTCGCTTGTCATTAGAGCTGAAAATTCATTACATAAATAACATCATCCCTTGGTTTTAACAAACAAAGTAGAATAAATCTTTCCTTTGGCATATCCATTAGAGGTGAGATGCTCATACCAAGCTCGGGGAGCTTGTTTGAGTCCATAGAGAACTTTATGCAATTGAAAAACGTGATTTGGAAAATTAGTTTTCAAAACCGGGAGGGTTGTTCAACGTAAACTTCTTCGTTCAACCACCTATTTAGAAAAGTACTTTTAACATTCATTTGAAATAGTTTGAAATTGAGGGCACATGCAAAGACTAATAACATACAAATTGATTCAAGCCTAGCAAATTGGAGCAAAATTTTCATTATAGTCAAGTCCTTCAACTTGGCTAGAGTCTTTAGCAATAAGTCAACTTTTATTAGTAACAATAACACCGTTTTCATTGAGCTTGTTTTTAAAAACCCATTTTGTACCCACAACGAGTTGGTTTGGCGATGTTTGACTAGCTCCTAAACCTTATTGCATTCAAATTGCTCTACCTCTAGTTGCATGGTACAGTCAATCGTTTAATGCATCATCTACGTTCTTAGGTTCAAATTGACTAACAAACACATAGTATGCACAAAGATTGTAATTGTTCATACTTCTAACTCCCTTTTTAATGTTGCCAATGATATTGTCCTTTAGATGATTCTTTAAATGTTTGTATGCCTTAGGTAGCTCATTTTCTTCATAAATCTTATCTTGACTCAGAGTTAGCAATACTTCTTCTTCTTCATTTGTACATGTAATTACCTTACTTGACCCAAAGGAATCAATTTTATCAAATTTTACATGCATAGATTCTTCAACTTTAAAATTTGATTTATTGAAGCCCTTATAGGCTTTGATATTTGTTGAATACCTAAGAAAGATTCCTTCATTTGATTTAGGCTCAAATTTGCCCAAATGATATTTGGTAGTCAATATATAGCACTTGTAACCCAAAACTTTGAAGTAAGAAATGTTTGGTTTTCTATTTTTCCAAAGTTCATAAGAAGTCTCTTTGATAATAGGTCTAAGTAATACCCGGTTTAGAACGTAACATGTCGTGTTGACCGCTTCTTCCAAAAAAATATTGAAGTAGTTTGAGCTCATTTAGCATGTTTCTTGACATCTCATGCAATGTCTTATTCTTTCTCTCAACTACTCCATTTTGTTGAGGTTCCCTTGGTGTAGAGAAGCTGTGAGAAATTCCATGCTCATCACAATAGACTTCAAAGTTGGTTTTTTGGTATTCTTCACATCTATCACTTTTAATGGAAGTAATCAAATATCCTTTCTCATTTTGAATTTTCTTGCACAATTTAACAAACGCATTAAATACATCATCTTTATTAGAAAGTAATCTAGCTCAAATATAACGAGGAAAATCATCTACAATGACAAAAGTCAAACTAGCTCCACCTAGGCTTTGTATGTCTACGGGCCCAAATAAGTCTATGTATACGTATTCAAGTGGTCTTGACGTCAAAACCATTTGTATAGGTTTGAAAGATGTCTTATGTTGTTTTCCAAGAGAGCATGCATCACAAAAACGGAAAGGGGGTATGCTCATCTTTGGCAAAGAAACAACTAGATCGTTCGAAGCATGTTTTCTTAAAAGATCATAATTAGCATGCCCTAGCTTACTATGTCATAATGTAGTGAATTCAAGAGAAGTGGCAAGACAAGTGATTTTTGAGTTTCTTAAATCCTTGGAATTGAACTTATACAAGTTTCTATCTCTTTTTGTAACACCCTAATCCGTTTAGGTCTGCAGCCTCTTTCAAACTAAAGTATTAACTTGGTAATCGTAAACATTCAAAAATATTTCAAACAATTTAACTTTATTTCATAATAATAATTGCGGATAATAAGGAGTATTTAAAATGTTGCAGAAGCGAATTAATTTATGAAATACAAATCAGGTACCGCCAGAGGGAACCAAATCTAGAGGTGGAGACGGTAGCTACACTACCGTTCCGATGGTATGGCCTACCGTCTCGGTGGTACCAAGGTACCGTTCAGACGGTAACAGGCTACCGTTTCTACGAGTAGTTTTGAACAATGTCATCTTTAACCTCGGGCTAATTTTCAGAAATGTTATTTTTAGTCACCAAACTTCAATTAAACTATATAGAAATGTTCTCCAAGGTTCATAGATCATTTTGGTATCATTACTTCATAGTTTTAACATCAAATTCAAGGTTTATGATTCTTAGTTCTTTAAGCATGTCAAAAATAAAATTCAACCAAGGGACCATTTATGAACGTAAAAACGACCTGTATTAATATTCTAGTTATTAGATATATCTACGGGCTTACCTCGAAGCTAAATGAAGATTCCAGCAAAAGAACGACGAAACTTCTGGCGATGATAGCTCTGAACTCTGGCGACTTCACACCAAAATAACAGCACCACAACACTCCTCACACCAATGTTAGCAACTTCTTCATTGCTTTGTTCGCTCTCACTTGCATTCGAGTTTAGATCAGCCTATATGCTCTTCAAGGCTTTCTTAAACTGTATTAGTAGCTATACTGTTAAGGAGGGGTATAATTGGCTATTAGGCAACCACCTGAAACTGGAGTGGGATGATATGGTCTGGAGTAAATGGTCTACTCTTAAACATTGTTTCATAGCTTGGCTAATCTGGAGAGGCAAACTACCTACCAAAGATAGATTGAGTAGGTTTATTAACTTGGATACTACTTGTGGTATATGTAATGCAGGGGTGGAGTCAACGGATCACTTGTTCCGTACCTGCGTTAAATCAACATCTGTCTTTGAGGATATCTCTCATTGGATACATATGGATCTTATTGCTGACACAATTATTGAGTTGGGGAACAAAATGTGGAAAGGGGAGAATAAAAAGAAGCGAAGACTAATCGCTGCTTGCATTACTGCCAGCTGCTACTTCTTATGCAAAGCTAGAAATGAGAAAGAGCATAGCAGACATGAGTTTACTAAGTGCAGGCTATTAAAGCTGCCATTGTTATGGTAATTGGGCACAAAGTAGATATTAACTTTGTTGCTGTGGAGTGTTTTTTTGGTTTTAATTAGCTTAGTGTAATATATTGCATTTTTGTTCAAAAAAGTATTTGAATTGATTTGAATGGGTAACCGCTGATTGAAATTGGCGACAAGCTGCGCGGGCTTTGCTGTTGTCGAAGATGACAGAAGAACGCCGATCGAAAACGGGGCTACTTAACTTTGGATGTCCCGTTGATGAATTGAAGATAGGATGTGTTGTTTGGGCTGCTAAAATTTGGGTTGAGGAGGATTGTCAGCTCTTGGTCTGGCGAAAAGAGAATCAGGCTCCTTTTCAAGATTAGATTTTTTTTTTCTTCTATTTTTTTCGTTGGTGGAGATAGAGGGCTGATTTTGGAGCTCTACTAATATTTTAAAGCTTGGGTTTTGGCCCAAACTTAATCATCTTCTTTTCAAATTTGAACTCTGTTTTGACCTTTTACTACAAGTTACTCCAAAAATAGGATATCTGGTAACTTGGGTTAGGAAAGAAATAATAAAATGTAGAGAAAATGATTTTAAAAAACAACTATTTTTGAATGAAAATTAAAAGTTTGTAAAAATCGGAATTAAAATAAAAAAATAAAAAAATAAAAATTAAACACTAAAAATATTAAAAGTGCTTAAAACTAAAGAAAAAGTACTAACCCAAAATCGACTTATTAGGGATAAACCAGTTCCTCCTATATGCGTCTATTGTGATTGCCAATCTGCTATAGGACGAGCTCAGAGCAATACCTTGTTAGGGATAACCCTTTATTATCTCATTTGACTATATCACGTTGTTAAGGATAACCCAATCTGCTATAGGACTTATTAACCCAATTGATATAAAGGGTTATCCCTAAGTCCTATAGCAATACCTTGTTAGGGATAACCCATAATCTGGTGGATCCATTAACCAAAGGGTTAACAAACGTACAACACGAAGGATTACCTAACCTGGGTGGTACCTAGGTTCAATGGGACAACCTACTTGTGGAAAAAAGCATGGTCACTGTGGGGGCAGGTCAAATCACCGGCCTTAAAAACCTCTCTGTTCTTACTAAGATACGGTGACTCTTGAAAATGTTGAGGGTAGCAAATTTAATATGCTTTAACAATTTTTGAACTATGGACAATGAGGTTCAAGTGGAGTAATCGACATACTCTTGGAAGAATCATCTATGTAAGAGTGAACTACGGTCGCTTCAACATAAAGATTTTGGGTTAATCTTGTCTGACACTCTTGCAGAACCAGATGCGTGTTCCATGACCAAAACGGGCATACCTATGAGAACGGAACGATGGTTGGTTGAAACCTGTGTATGATATATTTTCGTTTACAACAAGTGGTAGTATAGTTCAAGGACATCATGCTCTACTGAATAGCTAGTAAAGAAGGTATACCCTACAAGGAGTAGGTTCAAAGGCATGAAAGCCCACCTATTCTTGCAGTCTTTCAACTATAGAGTTATTTCCAAGCACATGAATAAATTCTCATTCATGTGGGGGATTGTTGGAATTTTTGGCTTGCAACAGGACAATTTCAGACATAAATTCAGTGGAGTCCACAAAATTATTTCTTTAAAATAGTTATGGACGAACAATCTCCTAAGTGAGACAAGTGTTTCGACATATTGTGTGCCAAAAATGATGCCCAATTGAATGAGAAATTAATTCACAAAGTCGGACACTTGGAAGGAGGAAACCCATGTATCCCACATCAGTTTTGGGACCTCTCCTCGCCCTCTTATCCTCGTTCTTGTCCGCACCAACCAAGCCTTGCCCACCATTACTAACCATCCCACCCTCATCCCCACCCTCTCCCCTTATCTCCATCCATCGTACCCTGTCACTCGGCACCCATCCATGAACTTTGTCTAACTACCCCCGCCCCCCATCCAACCTGCGTCACCCCCTGTGCTACGATAATATCACTTCTTTGTATGAAAACTTATGATATTCACTATTTAAAAAACACAAAAACTTTTGTTTATTTATGCATTTGTATTGAGTATTGATAATTTGATAAATTATTTTTGTTACCTCTTGTTTTCTACTCCGTAGAACATTTGATATAGATTTTAAAAATGTAAATGTTATTTTATATTTCCATACCAATCTTTAAATAAAATGAATTAAGAAAATTTAAAATTTTGCTTCATTTCATGTAAAGTATAAAACATTTTAGGATGGAGGATGGATGAGTAATTAATTGTCTCAAAACATCTTTTTAAATACTCACTCCGTCCGGGAATGATGTTCCTGGTTTGATTTTTCCTCATTTTTAAGAGCGCTTGAGTTAAGACTTAAATAGACTAAAATGCCTTTTCTCCCTTTATACGCTGCCCCTCCACTGCCCAGCCCCCATGATTCCAACTACCACTGCACCAGACATCCCGTTTCAACCCTAACTCCCACCGTCAACCCCATACCCCCATCATCTCTGCCGGCCCCATCACTAGTTACACATCACAACCCTTACCTACCTTACGGAAAGAACCTCCCGAGACTGTAGATCTATGAGGAAGTGAAATTACACGGCCACAACATCAAACACGCCTACCCCTTCTTTGATCCGTTTGTTTCGTGGTTCGAAGAGGCTCTCTGATCCATGGGTAGCCTAGGTTTCACGCAGATCTGACTGGGAAAACGGAGAAGAATTTAAAAAATAACAAAATGGGGCGGCGTGAAAAGAGAAATTGAGAGAAAAGAAGATGATGTATATGATGGCTAGATCTGATAAAAAAGGAGAAAAAAAATAGGAGAAAAAACGAGGAGAAGAAGGGGGTGGGGGGGAGAGAGAGATGGATATAGCAGGGAGAAAGAAGAATATGAGCAAAAAGAAAAAGAAAAGGAAGTGGCAGAAGAAGAAACGAGAACATGGGAAAAAAGTGGGGAGAAAGAAAGTGGAGTATTTGAGTGAGGGTATTTTTGGAAGAGTTGAGATGTAAAAGTAGAATGGGAATGTCATTTCTGGACAAAAAAAGGTATAATGGGAACATCATTTCCGGACGGAGGGAGTATTAGTTTTCAAATATTAATAATAGAAATTAATTTTTTTTAAAATATTTTCTTTCATTCCAAACAAAAAATATAATTTACCCCTTTCTTTCAAACAACAAAAAATATTATTCTATGAAAATTGATGGGTGTATTTCACCAGACCTGGTCAAAGAAGAAGTTCAAATATCCAACCGGTCAAGGTCAATTTTTCCGGATGGGAGGCCTAAAACGACAGTAAAAGGGCATTTAGTTGACTAGAAATTTGACCGGTCCACTTCGGATAGTCTACCGGTCAAACTACTTTATTCCCTTATTCGTCCCCAATTTCAATAAACTCATCCTTTGAAAATTACCCGGTATAATTTCTAGAGTTGGAAAGTGTCGGCAAGGAAGAATCCAAAGGAAATTGGACTGTAGCGGCCAAATTCAACGAAAGATCATTGGAGATATTCAAATAATCAGTCCAACACTGCACGCTAAGTGACAAAGGAGTCAACTTTCTAACTAGGCGACAAAGCCACTAGAAGACAGAGGCAATCACCTCGCACCACCCAGGAACGTGCCCTGACGTGGATGTGTGGCGCTTTGTTCCCATAGACTACTATAAATATTGTTGTAACCCTCAAAGGAAGGGAGACGATTTCTTCTGACTAAAACTTTCCTGTAAAAGCTCCCGTGCACTCTACTATATTCGAATATCAACTGGGCTACAAGTGTTTCCACCTAAAGTCCTTCCGATAACTTTGTGTTTTTTACTTTCTCGAATCTAGTAAACAATCCTAGATCCAACAAAATACAAAGGTAAAATCAAAGTTGGAAATAAGGTAAAAGAGTAGACCATATAAAAAGAAAAAAAATTCAACCTTCCATAATCGAATTTTACCCTTCCTACTAAGCTCAAGTCGCACTCCCTCTCGCTTCAGATTTTTTTTTTCTTCCACAAAATTGTCTAATTTCAACCTTCCATTCTCTCTCTCTCTCTCTCTCTCTCGCCTTTAGCAGCCGCAGTGCAGAGTTGTACTCTCATCGCTTTACTATCTCCACCTTCTAGGGATTCGCCGCCGCAGCTTCTTCACAACCTACGATTCCGTTTAACGAACTGGATTCCGCACTCTTCCTCCTCTCCGCCTCCCGCTGCCGCTGGCTCCTTTGATAGGTCCCAAACCCCTCCTGTATCTCACTCCCTGCATCACTTCACGCCCCACTGGGGAATTAATCGCTGATCGTTTCTGTATTATTTTGGACCTAGCGGGCGAGGCTTCTGGTTAGGGTTATGAGCTGCAGTCCGAAATTTGTTCGATTAGGGCAGGGCTAAGTGCTGAGTTGGAGTTGTCAGGGGGCCGTAGGATTTGTTGGCTCGGTTTTGAATGGCATTGGGGGATTTGATGGCATCCAGGTTCTCGCAGTCGTCTGCCACAGTTGTTTCAAGCCACTTGGAGGACTATACCGATCAAGAGGACAGGGAGACCGGGAGTAGCAACCAGAATAGAATTAGGGACTCTTTGGAGGCTGCTCCTAGTAGTTATGGGGGCAGTGCTGACAATGCCTCCACTTCGATGACGACGACAACCAGCATGGCATATCTGCCACAGACTATAGTGTTCTGCGAGCTTCGGCACGATGGCTTTGAAGAATGCGTGCCTTCTGGACAATTGGAAAGGGGTCTGGTTTCCAAATGGCGTCCAAGGGATCGAGTAAGAACTAAAGATTCCACATTTCCAGGCTATATGTTGTTTCATTATCTTCATTTATTAGTTATTACTTTTGCTTATTACATTCTTAAGTACTGCTTTCTATATTGTGATTGAATATACTTTCTGTGACTTGCCAAACATTTCTATGTCGATTCACATTGATTTCATATTATGAATGAATGGTTTTGTTGCTTTCCAACTGAAGTGCGACGCAGTCAAATTTACTAAAAAGGGTATAAACGTTGAGGTTTCCTGTAAAATGACTACCTTCATATTTCTGTCTCTTTGAACGACATATCCCAACCCGTTTTCAAACTCAACTTAGGGATACCATCATATGCGCACAAAGTAAATTGTACGGTTTTCTTCGTCTTCAATGGCTAATAGCAAAATACTGTCAAACTAGGTCCTACCATTGTGTGCATATTAGATCTCTTCCTACTTTAGTGGAGTGCCTATTGAGCTCAAGGGGCATTAAATTCATTTGAAATTTGGTTAAGAATTTTCCTCCAAACCGCTACTTGAATGCAAGACCAGACTGCCGTGGCTTGAATTTCTCAGTATTAATATTCTAAAAAATTTTGAACCCTTTCTAACTTTATTCACCGTTTCCTCCACGAAGGCCATGTTCGAATTTGGAATAGAAAGAGAAAATGAGTGGCAGTCTCCATTAAGGGTGCCTTCCACCTTTTGAGAAGTATTTTTCTTTTGCGTGGCTATGATATTATCTTGTAAGGAATTTCTTGTGCAAATCTGCACCATATGAGAGGCACTAGAATATGCGAATGAAGTGATACATCAAGTTCTTGAGACTGTAAATATTTTAATAGAAATAATAGAAACACACCTACATTTGAAATTTTGAATTATACTTGAATTTCATCCTTGGTCATTAATCTTATTTTGTTCTTTTTCATACATTGCTCTACGGAGTAGTAAATAGATTCATTAATCCCTCTTATATTTTCTGTTTAATACACCCTACCCCCCACGCCCCTAATTAAATTTCATTTTTGGTCATTAGTCTTATTTTTGTTCCTTTTCATATGTTGCTATAGTAAATAGTTTCATTAATCCCTCTTATATTTTCTATTTAATACTCCCCCCATCCCTGAATGGATGCCATGGCTCACTATTCAAAGACCGAACCATATCTTCTTTATTTATCTTTTTTTTGTTAATCATTTTGCTAAAATAACATAGTCAAGTCACAGCTTATTTTATAGAGCTTTTGATGTAGATTTATCATACATAAATTTCAATGGGTAGGAAAAGTCACACTTCTAGAGTAATAGAGGATAAATTAGAGACGTATGATACTCAAATAAACACCAAGTCTTTCAATTTTGTTCATAAAATACATGCCTTGTTGCTGCCTAGTTATTGTTTTCTCTTTACTGCCTAGCTAAATTCTATTTTACCGCATCCAAGCTTACAAGGTGTTTCCATATTGAGCCCCAATTCGGTGCAATGTTTCCCTCTTAGTATCGGTGGACATGGTGTGGTTCTGGTTATGATTTGTTTATTTTTTTATAAAATAAATATACTTAATAAGAAAATGCAATTAGATATTGAATTTAACGGAAAATGCAATTCTTCTCACAAAACTTGTTTCCTATTAAATTATAAATACATCTTAACAAAAATTTGGAATGGAACCGAGAAGCGGAACTGGCAGTTTTGGTTCCAAAGATATAAGAAAAGGAACCTCACTCCCCATTTTCGGTTCCAGTTGTCCAATTTATCTATCCGATTCTGGTTTTGGAACTGCTGGTTCTTGTTCCGAACCAAAACCGTGTTTCAAGATCCATAAACTTAATTTAGCAGCATTCTAATTTCTAACTACTTTAAAGTGTAGAATTTAGATTTACGAAGTAGAACTATGTTTTGTCAGATAATCTTTTAAATGTTCGATGCTTATTACTTTGTACTTTGCATGAATGAACTATGTGATACTATGTTTCATACTTTTTTCACCACTGCTCCATGAATAGTGGTTATGGATGTCTTCCACCTGCAAGTTTGCAATCCATGATGTTAAGTATTAAAGCATGCAAGTTCGGGAAAAAGCTAGATATGTAGATACAAGTAATGCCCCTGGTTCCCATAAAAAACTAATGCCTTAGATTTATTGTCATATTTTTAGACTTTTAAATGACATGATTTATTTCAGTGTGATGATTGTCAATGGTTAAACACAAAATAATAATAATAAAATAAATAAATAAATAAGAAGATGGAAATGAGTCCTCAATTGAGAGAAAGATATACCATTAGGTCGAGATAATCTTTGGTTAAAAATACACATATTGTATTCTGCATTCCATTGTGATAGATAGGTGGGATATTTTTAACACGTTGGTAGACAGAACAAGCCATTTCTTTATGTAAATGCCTACTGCTATATTTTTAGCTGTTATTCTTCGGGTTCATTGTTATGATATTATTATTGTTATTATGCTGGCCTTCTTTTGACATCAATAGTTGTTGTCATATTATGAAAACAATGGCTACGGTGCTCCGTTCGAAAAATTGATGGTTCCTTCCCCCCCTAAACTCCCCCGCACCAAAACACTGATTGGCTACTGTTGATGTTTTGGGGAGAAGGGCAGGGGATAGGAACCATTAATTTTTCGAATGGAGCACCGTAGCCATTGTTTTCATATTATGTCAACAAAATCTATTGTCAAAAGAAGGGGTCCGTTGTTATTATTATTATTTTTGTTATTGTTATTATCTATATTATTAATATTCTTGTTGTCGTCATTATTAGTTTTATTGCATATGCTGCTATACCCGATGCAGTCTGTTTTACCTCAGTTTTTGTTGCAGATGAAAACGGGATGCGTTGCTCTTGTGTTGTGCTTAAACATTAGTGTTGATCCTCCTGATGTAATCAAGATATCACCTTGTGCTCGCATGGAATGCTGGATTGGTAAATTGAATATCTATTTCTTTTAGTGGTTTGACTAAAGGTCTATACTCTTGCTGACAGTTTCCTGCTCTGATCTAATTGTCTGGGTTTTACGAGTACCATTTTTTATTTGGATCCTGAACTGGATGGGTTGAACATTTATCTTTTTAATAAGTAATAACTAGAGTAATAATGCTAACTATCAAAGGGAGAGTCACACGCCTTCATTTATTTTGCATTGTAATTGTTATTTTAAGTGCATGTCCTTTTCTTTGAAGGATGATAACTTTTGATCCATCCAATCCAACCTTAGAAAACTGATTAATCTAAATCAATGTGTTTTTGTAAACTGTTTGTAGGGAAGAGGAATATTTTTGCATTTATGCGTTTTTTCCATTATATTATCTCTTGAGAGCTGCCTGACAAAATTTCTTTTATATGATGTCATTTCCTTTGTTCGTTTTGCAGATCCATTTTCAATGGCCGCACAGAAAGCACTCGAAACAATAGGGAGGACTTTGAACCAGCAATATGAGAGGTGGCAGCCTAAGGTACGAATAGTCTTTGCATGAAAAGTACATTATGAGAAGGCGTAGTTGTGTACTTGTGTTACATGAGCTTTTAGTAGTGACTTTTAAATTAAGTAACTTACAAACATATTGATTTGCAGGCCCGCTATAAAATCTCACTGGATCCTACCGTTGATGAAGTTAAAAAATTATGCACAACATGTCGTAAAAGTGCCAAGTCCGAAAGAGTTCTTTTTCATTATAATGGACACGGTGTACCGAAGCCAACTGCAAACGGTGAAATATGGCTATTTAATAGGGTTCGTTTCTAACTTAATACTTTTTAGGTTCTATGATATGTTTTTGTCTTAATTTCATCTAGAATGTTTTTTAGAGCTATACACAATATATCCCTTTGCCGGTCAGTGATCTGGATTCATGGTTGAGAACCCCATCTATATATGTTTTTGATTGCTCTGCAGCTGGAATGATTGTTAATTCCTTCATAGAGGTACGAGACTAATATTTTTCAATAAGTGCAAACTAGCAGTTTTCTGATCTGGAATTGACAATTAACATTGTTGCTTTTCATGTACAGCTTCAGGACTGGAATGCTTCTACTTCTTCTGGGGCTTCGAGGGATTGCATTTTGCTTGCTGCATGTGAAGCACATGAAACTCTTCCTCAAAGTGCTGAATTTCCTGCTGATGTATTTACTTCATGCCTCACGACACCAATTAAAATGGCACTGCGATGGCAAGTATTTTCAAACTATTATTTTTTGACATTCTTATTCTCCTTTATTAATTATCNTCAATAAGTGCAAACTAGCAGTTTTCTGATCTGGAATTGACAATTAACATTGTTGCTTTTCATGTACAGCTTCAGGACTGGAATGCTTCTACTTCTTCTGGGGCTTCGAGGGATTGCATTTTGCTTGCTGCATGTGAAGCACATGAAACTCTTCCTCAAAGTGCTGAATTTCCTGCTGATGTATTTACTTCATGCCTCACGACACCAATTAAAATGGCACTGCGATGGCAAGTATTTTCAAACTATTATTTTTTGACATTCTTATTCTCCTTTATTAATTATCTGGATTACCAAGCCCGGCAGTTTTTACAGTTCTCATATTGATTATCAGTATCTGCAGTCACAGAATTTAAACTTGGCTTTCATGTGGTATGAAGTTTTCACTATGCAGTTCTCACTGCTCTTAGTTTTTGGCTGCTAATAATAATAATCTATTATCCATAAGGAAGCTTTCCTCTTCACTGAAACTGATTCCTGCTAGACTAATTGATAGTCTTGTTGACCCTACATCCCCTGTGTGTGTGGGACTGGTTGTCTATTAGTAGACCTAACGAATATATTAGGCTGGCCAGGTTTGGGTAAAATTGGTTTTTGGTGATTTATCATAGTTATCAAGGCATTGCCTTGGCAATGCTTAGGCGTCTAGGCGAGATTTTGCGGACGCCAGATTGGTCGCCTAGCTTTTTTGTGGAAGCACGGGAGAAGAATATGATGGGAAGAAGCCTGAGAGAGGACGAAGGAGAATAAGATCGGAAGAAGACGAAGGGAAGATCGACTTACCCGTCCTTCCTCGCCGATGCTGATTCATTATTGCGCATCCGAGATCTCCAGTGGCTTCCTCCAAACCCCCCGACCCTCTAGTAATTTTGGTCAACTAATTTGGGCTGAGGTTATTAAAAGCGTATCGGGCTTTTACACCTATTAAGTATAGGTCTTTATTAAAAGAGTATTGAGCCCAAAATTTGATTTCACTTTAAAAAAGTTTCAAAAGCCCACTAACTTATTAGCGGAAAAAATACTTACTTATTTTTTTGAGTATTTTTTAAAATTTTAATTTTTTAAAAACATTTATTCATATATTTCAGAGTGTGTACTCTTTAATTACTCATTCAATACTATATGCTTTTATATTAGTACCTATAAAATTATTAAGGTTGTTATAGCCAAGTCGCCTAGGGGATGCCTAGGTGGGCGCCTTATCACCTACCCAGACTTGCCTAACCGTCGTAACAACTATGTGATTTATAGGTCACGTAATTCCCCCCCTAATTGATTGGGTTTGGGTCAACCCAATAGGTCAATGTCACGTTCTACCTTCCGGTTTCTTGTCAAGGTTTATAGCAAATTTGCTTATATAATGCAACACTGGAAACCTATAGTTTTAACTTTTGAGCTAATAATATACTACTCCGTTATTGAAGTTGAACTTTATGACCAAATCAGAAATACAAGTAAATAGCATTTCCAATACACCTTCCAACTGCTTTGCTAGAATGCTCTATAATTCGTATCGAACATCGACCCAGACGAGCTAGTGGGTCAAGTATTAACCAGTCGAACCGGTCAACCCAGAGCGAACGACCTGCTCAAATATAATTAAAATAATAATATTTTATATTATTATTTTAGATATTTTAAATTAATAAAAGTAATAATTGTAATATATTAAATTATAATTAGTAAATATTTCTTGATTTTTATGATGACTGTTTTTTAGGTATACATTATTTATATTTAATCATAGATAAAATATATATATGTGATGTTTATTTTTTTCCTTTAAATTATTTTTAAAAATTCATAAAAAGTATACTACACAATTGTGTTTCTTTTTTTAGATAATTAGATGTTTTTTGAATTAGAAAAAGTCTATATACAAGCTATTGGGTGACTTTAGCAACATGAATTTTAACTGATGACTTTTGAGCTTATAAAATATAAGGAGACATAAACACGATATATAATGTTTTGCACGACAAAAGAAACATACACTTGTAGGCGTTACAGCGGTTGAAGGGCTATTGTGGAACCACAAAAGTTGTTGGTTCGAAACCTAGTGTTCTCTTTTTTCTCATATTTAAAACCATAAAAATGTTTTGGGCTTAAACTTGCAGTCCTCTGGGCCGCCCCGTGCCATGCGGGTCGGCGGGTCCGATGGGTTACTCCGGGTTTCAGGCAAAATGGGTTATGGCATTAAACCAGGTCGCGTCCGGTTTTGATAACATTGCTTCTCAAGTCACAACTCATTGGTTACATACATCCGAAATGGATACTAAAAATTTGAATATACAAATATCATCGAAACAATGGTGATGTTTGTATATTGAACCAAACCTTGGTGGATTGAATATTTGAACCACATTTAGTACAATTTGTATGAACTAGATTTTGACAAGGTTTAATTAGTGCATAAGATGGAATAAAGCAAAAGGGCTCTTTAAACTGGATGCAATTCTTTTAATAGTGAAGTATTAGTTGATCAATGCAACTAACAACCCTCTTCATGAGTCATCTGAAAACAACCGCTCTACGCTTTAAACATAGGGGTCTGGTCAGGTTGTGTGTGTGATTACCTGTGGTGCTTGAGCAGGGGTTTCTTTGGAAACAACCTCTCTACTTTCTAGGGGTAGGGTCACACACCCTCCCCAGACCCTACTTTTGTGGGATTCAACTGGGTTTTTGTTTGCTAGTGCATATGCTATTAAATCGACATGGACAAATAATCGCAATTCCTATCTTGAAGTAGTTCACAATACACATGGGCCTTGATATCATGGAAAGCTGGAAACCAAAATCAAATTGGACCGTCTCTACATTTAAAATCTTTCTCCCTAAGTAATGAGGTCGTATCTTCTCCTCCTAATCCCAGTTTTTCCCTTCCCAATTTTCATTCTCTTCAATCTCATCATTGATTAGTACATGTGAAAAATTGAACACCAACCTTTTGTCATCGAAGTATTTGGAGAACCATCCCTCTTTTTCTCGGTTGCACAGTTTACTCAATCACTTAATGCACCACGGTTCTTTTGACAACAAACCATAAAGTCATAATATGACAAAAACTCCAATCACAACGCCTATGGTGTGTCATTCGTAAAATTGATGGTTCCTACCCCCTGACCTAGCCTCCCCAATTGCCGGTTTGGCAGCCAATTTTAAACAAAAGCAGAATGCTGAAAAGAATACCTCTTTTTTGCTCTATTGTGCCTTGAAATGATGCAATTGTTTCTCAATTTTTTATAATCCATCTGTCCACTCAAACATATTCTACTAATTATATTGAGAGAAAACTTTGATTAATGAGTTCAACAACATTTAAATTTCATACTTCAAATGTCATAGAAGTAGAGATTTTGAGTACAATAGTTATATTAAATGCTCTTATTTTGGCTAAAGAGTCATTAGTATACTCCCCTAATTAATCATTTACCTTATACCTTTGTGTTTTTTCACTAATGGAGTTTCTGTGGGCAGAGGAAGTAGATATTTAAGTGATACTGTTTTTTTCCCAACTTTTTTAGGTTTTATTGTTTAACCAAGAGTGTTAAATTAACAATGGGGCATAAGGCCCTTGAGTTTGTGTGCTCTTTAATTTCAGATTCTATCTGGCTGTTTGTCTGTGTTGAAGGTCATCCTGAATGATAAAACTTAGACTTATTTTCTGCATGTTAATTTGTGTTCTGCTGTCCGGTGTTTCCCATAACTGCTAATTGCAAAATATGATATTAAACTGCTTATGGAAATTGTGAAACTTGGTTTTGATGTTTACATTCTTCCTTTTTGGAGTTTTTATTGAGTATTTGGCTGCGGACTTACTGCAGTATGTCATTTCTTTGATGACAAGTGATGTGTGTTTGCTTTCATTCTCAAAATTTTCAATGTTGGTTCTCACAGGTTTTACAATCAATCTTTGTTGCGTGACTCACTTGATTATTCACTCATAGATAGAATTCCCGGTCGACAGACTGACCGGAAAACACTTCTTGGGGAACTGAACTGGATATTTACGGCAGTTACAGACACAATTGCTTGGAATGTTCTTCCCCATGGTAGTAAAATATTAATAACAGGATTAGTATGTGCTTCAGCAAATCTTATTTTGCATGGTTGTGTTTGTCTAACCTTGGATGTTTTTTGAATACATAGATCTGTTTCAGAGATTGTTCAGACAAGATCTATTAGTTGCGAGTTTGTTTCGAAATTTCTTACTCGCTGAAAGAATTATGCGCTCTGCAAATTGTTCACCAATTTCATTCCCGTTGTTGCCACCAACTCATCAGCATCATATGTGGTAACTGCACGTGGCTCTTAGAATATGTTCTATTTCAACCTTACATCATTCTTATTTAAGTTTACACGCGTTAGGGATGCATGGGACATGGCTGCTGAAATTTGCCTCTCTCAGCTTCCAGCATTAGTTGAGGATCCCAATGCCGAGTTTCAAGTGAGAATTATCAGTTTGTTCTTCTGTTGTAAATACATATATCCAATTTTTCCCCACGGGTTAGATTTATGCAATTTTTGAAGTTTTTCATGAAGTGGTTGAATTTCATTGTAACCTTTCTTTTCCAAGGTTGATATTTTACACTTCAAAATTTGCAGCCTAGTCCATTTTTCACTGAGCAGTTGACAGCTTTTGAGGTTTGGCTGGATCATGGATCCGAGCACAAGAAACCTCCAGAGCAGTTGCCTATCGTGCTTCAGGTAAAAAGTTTCTTGGTATTAATTAATAAGGGCCACACTGTGGTTGTCTAACGTAATTATGATCATTAATGAATCTGGGAATTTTTTTGGTATTTAAGTTTAATGCTTCCTTTTCTCCTATCCACTGAAGTTGTGTGATGTTTTTAATCACTAATTGTTCTTCTAGTGTATGAATACTTTTTTTTGGATCTCTTGTAACATTTAACATGAAGTGTAGCATAGTGGTGCTTATGCAAAAAATTAGTGCTATTCTGATCGGTGATCTGATCTGTGTTGGGAAATTGTATACTAATTGTTATGTTATGGGCTTAGATATGTAGTTGCCAGACTAATGCAGCTGTTGTTGCTCCCGACAATTGCAGTTTAGTTGGAGTCTTTTGTGCTTATTCTGTTAATTATTTAATGTTGGCTCTGTGTTACCTTTAGCTCGAAAAAATATTGATGTGCAATATAACTGGTTCTATCTTTTCATTTAAGGTGTTACTTAGTCAATGCCACCGGTTTCGTGCTTTGGTGCTTCTTGGAAGATTTTTGGACATGGGCCCTTGGGCTGTTGATCTGGTAGATCTTGGTGCTTTTTGGTGAAAACTTGTTCAAGCTTTTCAAGTCAAATATTCAATAGTTTACTCAACCATTTCTTCTTCATCTAGGCATTATCTGTTGGTATATTTCCATATGTTTTAAAGCTTTTGCAAACGACCACTCCTGAACTTAGGCAAATTCTTGTCTTTATATGGACAAAGATTCTTGCACTTGATAAGGTACACTTCAAAATTTCCTTTCTAGTTTTGTCAAGTAATTACTTTCAAACGCTTCCTTATTTTCCACATTAAGTACCCTCCATGACATTGCTTTATATCGTGCCCGTCCTTTCATTTCTCCTGACACTTGTGTGGAATAAAAAAGAGAAGAGAGGTTATTTGATACAATACTAACTATCAGCATAATTGTGCTAACAGTCTTGCCAGGTTGATCTTGTAAAGGATGGCGGGCATACATATTTCACCAGATTTCTTGATAGTATTGATGCCTATCCAGAACAGCGGGCTATGGCTGCATTTGTTTTAGCTGTCATTGTGGATGGTCACAGACGGGGTCAGGAAGCCTGTATTGAAGCAGGCCTTTTACATGTCTGCTTAAGACATCTTCAGGGATCAGCATCAAATGATGCACAAACTGAACCTCTTTTTCTTCAGTGGTTGTGCCTATGTCTTGGAAAACTATGGGAAGATTTCATTGAGGCACAAGTGATTGCTATACAGTCAGATGCACCTGTGATATTTGTACCTTTACTTTCTGCACCCCAACCTGAGGTTTCTAGCAGACCATCGCTTTCCCTTTGTTTATCTCCGATGCAGAGTCTAAACTTGATTTTTGTTTTTTTAAATATCAGGTTCGAGGTTCTGTTGTGTTTGCACTAGGCACTTTGCTAGACATTGGGTTTGGCACATCCAATGATGGTGTTGGCGGAGTTGAAGATAGTGACATTGATGAAAAAGTCAAGGCTGAAGTTAGTATTCTTAAGAGCCTTATGAGTGCTGTCTCTGACGGAAGCCCATTGGTTAGAGCTGAGGTTGCCGTAGGTATGCAGTATATTGATTTTCTTTCTAGTATTCATGTAACAGATTTGTCTTTGGTTTAAATGCCCCGTTCCCCTAAGCAAAAACAACTTACCCTATGTTTGGTTCAAGGATATTTTGAAGGAAAAGAAAATGATTTCTCCCCAAACTTGAAAAATTGCTTTCAAATCTCTTTTTTTTCTCCCTCTCAAATTCCTTGAACCAAACATAGTGTTTGGGAGAAGAAAAATGTGAAGCTTTTAATATACAGTTGTGACATTTAATTGAAGAAATAAAAGTGTCAAATACTTTTCTTTTCTCGAGGTGTCCTTTGATTCATTTACCCTTCACATTCAAGCAAACCAAATGAAACATACCTAGTATATTCTACTTGGAAGTAGAGTCGGGGAGGATATGATGAACTCAGGACTTATCTCTACCCCTGGGATTATAGAACTGTTTCCGTCTTTCTGTGGAGACCTCTGACAGATTGACAGGTAATGAAAAGTATTGTAAAGTGCCAATAACATGCACAAAAGTAAGCAGCCTAAATTCATTCAGTCAAGTAAGTAGTTTAAACCGTAGAACATTTTGTGGACACATAATTTATGCCTTTTTGGGAACTGAGTAAGGTTCATAGCTTTTTGTCCTGCCCCAACATTCACTGTTTGCCTAATAATGAAATTTTCTATGAAATTGCAGAGTTTAGTAGGGCACTTGATGTCAAGAACCCAAGCTTACTGGCCCATATTTGACCTGCAATTAACATTTCATTTTGTTTTTTTAACATCATTGCAGCTTTGGCACGCTTTGCATTTGGGCATAATAAGCACCTGAAGTCTGTTGCAGCCTCATATTTGAAGCCTCAAAACAATTCTGTGCTTACATGTTTGCCTTCTTTTGCTGTCAAGAGTTCAGGCAGTGGATATACAACTCCAACACATTATGTGCCTCATGGAAGTATCATTCCATCTCCGAGAGGTCTGTTATTGAGAGTTGGAGGTGAAAACCAATCTACCATTCGGGATGGGAGAGTCTCTAGTAGCAGCCCCCTTGCTGCACCAAGTATTATGCATGGGTCTCCCTTGTCTGATGATTCATCTCAACATTCTGATTCTGGCTTATTAAATGATGCCATTAGCAATGGCATTTTGAACCATACAAGACCACTAGATAATGCATTGTATTCTCAGTGTGTGTTAGTTATGTGTACCCTGGCAAAGGATCCATCACCACGCATTGCGGGCCTTGGTCGGCGTGTTCTGTCCATAATCGGTATTGAGCAAGTGGTTGCCAAATCTGTCAAGTCTACGAGTGAATTTTCTGCAGCTCCTAGCACTAGTTTTGCAGGACTGGCTCGGTCATCTTCATGGTTCGACATGAATGGAGGTATCAAACCTGGGCATTCAAACTAATTTAGAAATTTTTTTCAGTTTCAGTTTATTTGCATTTCTTTGGTCATTATTAAGGAACTTTGCTTGCCACTGTTGTTTGAGGTTTCATTTGATTGCTGCAGCCGGTCATCTGCCTTTAACATTCAGAACTCCTCCTGTTAGCCCTCCTCGTGCCAGTTACATGACTGGACTACGAAGAGTTTGTTCGCTTGAGTTCAGACCACACTTGATGAATTCTCCAGACACTGGGTTGGCTGACCCACTTTTGGGCTCAGGTGGACCTTCTGGAACGTCTGAGCGCAGTTTCCTTCCACAATCTACCATATACAATTGGAGCTGTGGCCACTTCTCAAAGCCACTTCTTACTGCAGCTGATGACGGTGAAGAGATACTCAGTAGAAGAGAAGAGAGGGAGAAGATGGCCCTCGACTTGATCACAAAGTGCCAACACTCTAGTATGCCTTATTAAGTTCCCGTTTTTTTCAATATGCCATTTCCACGTTAAGTTTTTGCAGAAGTTATGTTGCTTTTTCATAATTGATCTGAAAGTAGACTTCGGATGTTCTAAAGTTTTTCTTCTGTCATCAGCCGTGAGCAAGCTCCATAACCAAATTGCCAGCTGGGACACCAGATTTGAAACTGGTACAAAAACTGCCATCTTGCAGCCATTCTCGCCATTTGTAATTGCTTCAGATGAGAGTGAAAGAATCCGGTAAGGAAACATATTTTCCTACCTTTAGTATGTATCTGTTATAATACAATTGAACCAAAACTCAGTTGGACTTCTAGAATGTAGAATGTAAACATGAAACTCTTTCATTGATAAGATCTTAAGAATGAGATCAAGAGTAGCGCTAGTTCAACAAGTATTTTAGGAGAACTGATGTCTTGGCAGGACAAAAGTTGATCACTCTCATGCTTTGAGGAGAAATGATATGCCATCTTTTGTGAATTGGTCTCACTCTATAGCTGCATTTCTTGACTCACGTAATTTATGGAAGTCATTCTTATGTTTGACTATTGTGTGAAGTAATGAATGATTCATTGTAAGGAATTTGTCTATGGGAAAAAGACTAAAGTAGAAGTAAAATATAGAAAATATACCAAAATAGGAGTTCCATGTTTTTATTCCCAAAATAGAAGTTGAAATGCATATACAATGCCAATGATGTCAATATATAATACTAAAAAGTATTGTAAAATGCTCATATGCAGTGTCACATTATCACAATGCAAATTCCTATTTTGAGGATAAAAACATGGAGCTCTTATTTTTTATTACTTTTTCTATGTTTTACTCCTATTTAGGGAGATTTCTTTTTGTCTATTTTGAACTCTATAATTGATTTTTGTGTAAATTAAATTTGTAAAATGCTGTAATGATAAGGAAGTGGAACAAATTATGACTGTCCTTAAATTTTTATGATTTATCCTCTATTCTTAAATGTTCCATAAAATTGTTTATGGTTGTTAGGGTGTGGAATTACGAGGAGGCAACCCTGCTTAACAGCTTTGATAATCACAGCTACCCTGACAGGGGAATCTCAAAGCTGTGCCTTGTGAATGAGCTCGATGAGAGTTTGCTTCTTGTTGCTTCAAGTAACCACAGTGCATCCTTTAAAAAAACTACTACGGAGTAGATTTTATGTTCAGACTGTAATGATCAACACTGCTGTTATTTCTTGCAGGTGATGGCAACATTCGCATTTGGAAGGATTATGCATCTAGAGGCCGACAAAAGTTGGTCACTGCATTCTCTTCAATTCAGGGTCACAGAGTGGGTATGCGTAGTGTGAATGCTGTGGTGGATTGGCAGCAGCAATCTGGTTGCCTGGTACACTTTGATTCACTCGAGTAATAGAAAATTTACGATGTCGTGTGTGTGACTGATTCTACATACTCCAACTGTCCTTTTATCTCATTTGACTTTGCATGCGTTTAAAAAAAGTGGAAACTGTGTTTGAGATTTATTCAAAAGTGAAATAATATGAATCATAATCTTTTCTTTCAAAAGGAAGCAATAAAGAATTTTGGGATGTACTAAAAGGGAAAGAATGAAGATAAAAGGGATTGGGGGGGGGGGGCAAATCAATTTTACGAACGGAGTATCGTATGTGCCCCAATTGAAGTGGTGTTGCCATTAGTGTAACATTATCCCCCCTCTATGTGTGTGTGTCTATATATATATATATATATGTATATATATGTATATGCATGTGTGTGTGTGATCTCCTTAACCATGGGTAAACATATGCTTTTACCTGCATATGTCTATTTTATTAATTATTCTTCATTCAGATGTGACATCTTGTCAGTTCTCTTGTATATTCTTATATAACTTGCTTATGCTTGCCTCAGTTTTCATCCGGTGAAATTTCATCAATAATGGCTTGGGATTTAGACAAAGAGCAGCTTGTACATACCATTCCATCATCCTCAGACTGCAGCATTTCTGCATTGGTCAGTACTTCATTATTCTCCCTGGATTTATTAGGATCCATTATCCATTTATGGAATAGTTTCAAATTGATAACTAGTTTCTTTTAAAGACAAAGTTCTTTTGGCCTTGTGCAGTCTGCCTCTCAGGTTCATGGAGGCCAATTTGCAGCTGGTTTTGTGGATGGATCTGTTAGGCTCTTTGATATCAGAATGCCAGACATGTAAGGCAATTTTTTGTGTTTAAATCACATTCTAGTATATTTAAAGTGTTCTCAATTCATAATATAACCTGTGTTCTTCGTAATCTGCAGTATACTTAAGATGTCAGATCTGCTGTTTTTGTTGAACTATTCTACGACTTGTCTCAAAGTTTCATTTTCCAGTAAATTGACTATTTTCCCCACACTTCAATTGCAAATGGACATGAATGGTGTCGATTGTTCTAAACCATAGCAGTTACTATCTGCTATGTATTGATCATATAATACACAAACTTATATGCATACATTGTTATAAATATAAACTTTCCGTACAAGCGTGTGTTTCAAAGACTTGTAAAAAATACATTTTATAAATTCAAGTACAATTTATGATTTCTGATACGTTTGCCGTATCAAATTTCGAAAGCTGTACAATGGTAAAAAATGGTTTCTTTAAAAATACTACGTAGGTAGGAGGTAGTAGTTTTTTGAGAAAGTATACTACATTACTGAGAGTCGTTTGTAACTGATAGTTTGCATTTATGTAGGCTTGTTGCTACAACTCAACCACACACCCAAAGAGTAGAAAGAGTAGTGGGAATTGGATTTCAGCCTGGACTACAACCAGCCAAGGTGAAGGAAGTGAAAGCTATACTCACCATCTGTTTTGGTGTTTTTGATACTTTCCTATTTTATAACAACGATAAAAAGCAAAATGCATAGGAAGATATGAAATCAGCCATATTTTTTGCTGTTGCTGTTCCAGATTGTGAGTGCGTCTCAGGCTGGTGATATTCAATTCCTTGACGTGAGGAACGTGAAGGATGCATATCTAACAATTGACGCCCACCGGGGATCACTGACGGCTTTGGCTGTTCATCGGCATGCTCCGCTCATAGCCAGTGGCTCAGCTAAGCAACTCATCAAGGTGTTCAACTTGGAGGGCGAGCAATTAGGCACCATACGCTATCTGTCCACCTTCATGGCACAAAAGATTGGATCTGTTAGGTGTCTTGCGTTCCACCCTTACCAAGTCCTCCTTGCAGCCGGTGCTGCAGATTCTTGTGTCTCTCTCTATGCCGATGAGCTTTCTCCTCCAAGATGAGTCAAACCATCACAAGGTCGGACATGCTTTGAATATATTTATGTGACGATTAGGTCCCTTGCCCCATTTGTGTATGTTTATCATATTTGTTGAGCCTCCATGACACGCTACGTGCCTACATGAACGTGAAGCTCAGTGGGTTAATTGACGCTCGTCATCCAGGAGGCTTATCTAATAATAATTTGATGCATAGGTAAAGAAAGATGTAAATATCTCTCTTTTGTTATTTAATTCTTGTTGGTTTAGTGCTGTTATTCTTCTGAATATTTAAACCCTTTTCATCTGTATAGATCAAAACTGGTCTGGACCTATTTACATAATTCAATTCCATTTCCGAAAGAAAGTTGTAACTTTTTTTCTCCTGCGTTTACTTCTCCAAAATGGATCACTTCCCTGATGTGTCTGCTTCCCACTGATTTTAAAACTTGAACATTTGATTTAAGATGTAGCACTGATATTTGCACACAATTAGTTTACAGTGAAAATCTTCTATTGACAGACCATTTTTATGCACTCAAACGAAAAACCATAACACTGAAGATATTGGCAATCATAATCACAAGAGACTCCAAAAATCAAACCAATGTTTTCCCAAGGAATTGAACTATGTTTGCTTTCCCGACATGCTTCCAGATGCGTTGGATGTCGTCTTCAGTTTCCTGTCTTCATTACCAAAAACATTGAGATCTTCAAACAGCCTATATGATGGAACAAATGTTTTGTGTGCATTAGCTGCAGTGGGGATTGATGATGATACGCCAGGTCCAGCACTGGCCCTTGCACCAGTTCCAGTGATAGATGGATTGCTTCCACCATTTGCGGTGACGTGCGGTGACGGGTTTGAGGGGTTGGTGATGGAATAACCGGGAGTTGCAGCCCAAGGCGGAGGGGGGTAGTGATGGAGATTGTTGAAGTGATGAGATTGTACTTGTGGGGGAGGATCAGGTTCGGACGGTGGGGGCGACACCCTAGCCCAGGGAGCTACATAGTTGTTGAAAGAAGTCTGGTGGTGGCCGTGTTGATTGGTGGTGGTAATGGGAGGAGGAGAAAAAGGCAGCGGCGTCTGGTTTGTGTGGTCTTGTGTTGGAGTATGAGGCGGCAGAAAAGACACAGTTGTCGCCAATGTTAAACCCCCCAAGAGCTCTTGAATTGTATCCTCGCCTTCTCTTGTGGTCTTGATTGGCGCTGGCGGGTCACAAGGAACCAAGGCACTGTTCATGGCTGCGGAACCAGAGAAGGCACTGTCGGAACAACTCCCATCCTTCTTCATCTGAGGTTGCATTTTGGAATGCCTGCACTCATTTTAACCATTATAGTAAAATGTTACTAAGAAAGATGAATTTATACCCCCACTCAGAAGAACCCTCTATTCAAAAAAAAACAGTGCCATACCTTCTAGCCAACTGAGCAAAGTCGTCATCTTCATCCTCCTCTTCTTCATCTACTATGGGTCTTGGAGGTTTGGCATCCGCTGCAGCAGCTGCTGTATCATTAGGCCCATCTTCAGCTATTTTTAGGGCAGGGTCCCGCGTCTCAGATGATCGCTCATCAATGGCAGAGACTGAATTTGGAAATATGGCACCAGAAGCGATGGCATCGTGTTTCGCAAGCACACTTTGCAGACTATCGTTCAATTCAAGACCCTCTGCTAGAAGCTTTTCATCCCTGAAATAATGGTTTATTACAACTTTGCTTCAATAACTACTAGTATACTTACTATATGATAACATAAATTATTACGAGAAAGAGAGAAGTTACCGGGTCGTGGCTAACATCTGCATAAGTTTCTTTTGATTGGCACGGCAACGGTCTACAAGATCAACTATAACTTCATCTTTCACACCCTACAAAAAGAAATGGATGAAGAAGCCATGACCTTAAGGATGAAAAAACTTACAGTACTTCATCTTACTCCTCCTATCAGTCAATCCAAACAGAGCCCAAGGGTTTGTTTGGATTATAGGGAATAGGGAGGGAGAACATTCATCTCTTCTTTTGTTTGGCTAGGGAGTATATGGAGGTGGATGCTAAAAGGCAGATTGTCTTCCATCCAAATTGTTCTCCCTCAGAATCATAATCTTTTATAAAATTATATAGTACAGTTTCCCTTCATTTCCTCTGTAATCCAAACAAGAGAATATCATCATCCTTTATAATCCCCTCCTTTCCTCTCCTTCATTAAACTTATCTAATCCACATGAAGTATGGCCATTTCCTTTCCCTCCACGTTACCAATCTCCCTCGAGTTCAATCCAAACACATCCTATGCGGAAATAACTACTTCGTGCGACATTAAAGACAAAAAAAGGGTGCACGTACTGTATGATCGTTGGGATTCACAGCTTGCAGCATGTCAGCTAAGAGATGAAGAACTTCTCCTATTGAACTAATGGTTGACAAACTGCCAGTAAAAAAATAGAAGCACTGTGAAGAAAATATTTGGATCACAAAATACACATAAAACCCAAATAAGATCTAACCTTAAGTCTTCCATCTCAGCAGCCATGGCTTCATCAAGTCTTCTTGAAGAATTGCTTGGCATTCCATAACCTGGTTGATGCTGTCTAGGTGGAGTGAAAATTGGAGCCGCATCATTAGCACGCTGGGGAAATTGTACACCATAACGCTGCGACAAATTTCAGATAATAATCACTTTCCAGAAGATGCATTTTTTTCCTTCCCACACTTTTTAACTTGCATTACCTATAGACATTTGCTAACTGATTATAACTACTAATAATCCATTTCACCTCATTACTCTTATGTTTCATGATGATATCTGCCACGTGCATATGGATACTGTTGGTCCATGCTTAGAAAGAAAACACTACAAGAACTGTAACTAGATGCAACACAAACAAACAAAAACTGCACACAAACTGTCTGTCTGTCTGACTGTCTCTTTTTCAAAATTCAATCATCCAAAAACATACTTGTGCACAGCAGTTTTGTTACTGGGAAATCAAGCACCGATCACTCACTCTCAGTTCATCGTAAGCCCAATAGTATTGAGTGTATTTGCCTCCGGGGCCACCAAATGCCTGTTGCCAAGAGTCTAGCAGAGCCAGGATTTTATCCCTCACATGCATATCAGTCTGCAAGTAAGGAAAACTGAGATATTGATTGGCTTAAGAGGAAACGGTAGAGTGAAGATTTAAAGCATCAGGGTAGATATAACCCACCCCCGTCAAACCACCAATATCCCTAAATAATGGACAAAGCTACAACAATAACAAGGAACCCAATAAAATCCAACAAAAAGTAGGGTCTGGGGAGGGGGGTCTGGGGAGGGTGTGCGTGCGTAGACCCTGAGGGGGATGGTGTGCGTATGCAAAGTTACCCCTACTCAGAGGTAGAGAGAATGTTTACTAAAATAATGGACAATGCTGCATGAGATATTTTTAAGAAGTTGAAAGCCATGTCGGTGTCTATTGATTACGAAGAAACAAGAGATATTTCTAAAAACCAGACCTCAAAGTAAAGCAGATTAATGAAAAATAAAAGTTGCTTCGATACACAAACTAAAACCCCATTAACTATCAACATGAAACTTGCCTTCTTCTTTACAATTTTGACCATATCTTGCAGTATATTTCTCTCTGCAATTTGAAAGTGCACGTTATCACCACAGTTTTTCACCACTGTTTCCAGAAGCTAACAGGAAAGTCAAAGAGAAAAGCCAGTAAGATTTGAATAGCCTTACACTATGTTTGGTTCAAGGAATTTGAGAAGGAAAGGAAATGAAAATGATATGGAAAACCGTTTTTCATATTTGGTTAAGAAAAGTGGAAGGAAAAAAAAAGATAAGCTAAGAAGAGGGAAAACATGATTCCTTCCATTTTGGTGAGAAAATGAAAGAAATCATTTTCTTTTTCTTTCCTTCCTAATTCCTTGAACCAAACATAGTGTTAAAGATATAAAAATATATCAAACCCAAAAACATAAATCTTGACAAGAACAATTTAAGTACCGTCAAAGAAAGTAGCTGCACTTGCGGACTCTTGTGCTGCAACCTTTTCTTCAAAGTTTTCACAACATCTTTGGCTAACCTGAATATTGCAGCAAGTAAAAGATTACAAATTGCTACATGTACTATGAGTAAGATCCAAACACATGACAAAGGAACTGATATTACAACATAGACACCACAACAACAATTAAGTGAATTAACTAGTTACTGATAAGCCCTGAATTCATATGAAACACAACAGTCAATGATCATTTGCTTCTCTATTTTTTGAACAATAATAAAAAGAAACAGATCCCTCAAATAACATCACTAACAACAACAATAATAATAAGACCAAATTCAAAGAAATTATCCCCGGGCGCCCACTTGGCGGAGAGGACTACTCAGGCACTTTGTTTGGAGAAGGTATATGGTACAACCGGTTGTACCTAGAAATAGGTACATCCGGGTGGTACTCATTTTAAAGTAAAGTAGTACTCATTCTCGCACAGACATAATTGTTTATTTTGAAATAACGTTGTACTCATTTTGAATTAACGTAGTACTCATTCTGAAATAATGTAGTACTCATTTTCACACAATTATTTAATACAATTATAATATTCATCTACAAATAACATAGTGTTAATTCTAAAACAAAGTGGTACTCATTCTCAAATAAAATAGTGTTCATTCTCAACTAAGTACCGTTCATTCATTCCACTTAGTTTAAGATCAATCTCCAACCCTTCTTCTTCTCCCTCACCCAAACGCTGAATTATTTCGGACTACAAGTTTCTATATCAGCCACTTCCCCATGAACCCTTCGATCTGCTATACAATCACTTTCCCCACTATTACATCACCATCACTATCTCCACCATCAACTTCGGAGATCTGCTCCCCGCTGCTCTGTACTATCTTCGTTTCCCGCACCTAGGGTTTGACTTGATCGCGCTCCACTTGATCGGTAATTTTCGCCGGCTGTACGGTTCTTCCCGTACAGCCGGCTGTATGATATAATTTGCGTTTTGTTTGTCAAAATCTAAGTTCTTTTTTTTTTGTTTCCTTGTACCAAAAAAAAAAAAAAGAAACAAATTATGGAAATAATGACTATATGAACAGAAACCCTTTACTCCCATCAACATGAGAGAACAGTTCATCCAAAGATCAACTATGGAATTCCAGTACTATTTACTTAAAGACTTAAAAAAAATACTCCGCACATAATTAATTATATCGGTAGAACCAACAAGTCAAAAACCAAAGGGAAACAAGAAAAGTCAACCTTTTACCCATGAAAGGAACAATGAATTTTAGAGCAGGAGTCGGGAAAAGAAAAGGGAAGGGAAAATACCAATGGTTGGAATTGATGGTATCACAGATATCAATATTCAGAGTCCAATCGGGGCCCATCAGGAACTCGCTTGTGGCCTTCTCCACTCGAACCGCAACTGATGACGCCGGAGAAGGCGAAGAAGAAGAAGAGGAAGACTGTGACGCAAAGGATGATATCATCTTCCCAATACTTAGGTTTCCTTGTCTGTCTCTGGAAAAATCTCAGTTAAAATACTGGGTTTTGTGATTCTTGATCTTCTTGATTGTTATTTTATCGGGAATTCTGGAGGATCATTTTCCCCCAAGAAAGTTTTCCTTATTTGGCTGTGGGAGCTTTCTGTGTTCTTTCTCTTTTCCCTGCTGTACAGAAAACTTTAGGCACTTTGCTTTTTGGACTTTGTTTTTCTTATTTATTCTTTTATTGGAAATTTCGTAACCTTTTGTCTTTCTTGTTTTCTTGTTTTTAAGTTAACCCGGTTCCATGGCCACTGGAACACGGAAGTTACTGTTCCCTAGAGCTCCGTTCATAAAATTGATGATTCCTACTCCCCTAACCCCTGGTAAACCCCTGCCAAGTCCCGACCCAAACTAATCATCTCACCTACGTCAATTGCACCTTGTAAGTATAATTGACTTTAAAGTCAAAACTTTTGATTTCATACTTACGAGGTGCAATTGACGTAGTTGGGGTGATTAGTTTGGGTCGGGACCTGAGGTTAGAGGGGATAGGAATCATCAATTTTATGAACGGAGGTCCGTAGGGGGACAGTGACTTTCGTGGTCACTGGAATCCAGTGATCATGGAACCAGACTCTTTTAAGTTATGCCTAGTAGGTCGTATTCTTGTATTGGAATTTTCTTTTATTGTCTGCCATTGGCTTATTTAATCACTACAATAACCGTGATGAAGATTTTTTTTGAAAGAGAGAAGCATTCATTCATTTATTTTGTGAAATTGAAAGGAGCCGTACTAAAAAGCTTTTTAATTTTACTGTTTAGACTTCCAATAATTTTATTAGTTATTTGATAAAATAAATTTTTTTTATTATTTATTTTTTAAAACTTTTGATCTAGCTTTTAAGTCTATAACTTATATTTTCATTTTAAACCAATCTGTAAATAAAATTATTTTAAAATAGATAAAATTTTATATATTGTTCAAAATAAAAAAAATTTTCGGTACCAGATTGATCGAATTCCACATCAAATAAGGATTTGTACTAGAGGCAAAGGCCTGAGCATCGTTGGTTCTGCCTCACCGAAGCATGGAGCGAGGTAGATTTGACATAGGACTCATTGTCGTTTAGATGCTAATAAAAGGAAAAGGAATCACGATAGTGAGTGTCCGGGGTAATGATTGGTTTGAGTTTAAGTTTGACATAAATGATTGGGGATGGTCTTAGGAAAATATCTTGCTTTAATGTTTGGAGTTATCAAAGCACCGTGCTTTCCAAACTATTTTACTTAGAATAGCAATTGAAAACAAGGGTATTATCAGAAACCAAGTCCCCTTTAGGATTTGTGAGCACAAAGCCACTAGGGGTGGAAATTTCTACTTGGCCAGTTGGATATTAGAATAATCCAATTCGATGCGATGGATGAAAACCCGTAGACGGATGATGGAAAAGGAATCACGATAAATTACTATTTGAACTAAAATGGATGGAGATAAATTACTATTTATCAGGGGTAATGGTTGGAGATAAATTACTATTAGAACTAAAATTTATTGAATTTTGAGTTTAAGTTTGACATATATGGTTGGTGATGGGCTTAGAAAAATATCTTGATTTAATGATTTGAGTCACCAAAGTATCGTGTTGAGTAAAACTTTTACAAGCTATTTTACTTAGAATAGCAATAGAAAACAATGGAATTATCATAAACCAAGTCCCCTTTAGGATTTGTGAACACAAAAGCGGTCTCATCGCTAATAGGGGTGAAAATTTCTACACAACCAGTTGGACATCCGAATAATCCGATTTGATGTAATGGATGAAAACTTGAAAAGGAAAGAATGTTAGACGGGTGATGGATGGATCATGTCGGATGCATGTGGAGATCCTCCGATCCTCACCAGTCACCCGACCTATTAGAAATTATTCTAAAAAGATTATGATTAGAAATATTAGCTTTGTTGAGTATTTGGGTTTGTTTTACTCTCTAATATTCTAAATTATTAAAAACCTAGTCTATAACTTAGAAGATTGTTTCTTTGCGGAATTCTATTTGAAAATACAATTAATATCTTATTTTCCAAAGATGTTCCCTGAGTTATGTGTTTCATAAGCTCTCGTACTCATTCACAAACCCGTCGCTGAGTTCGAAGCTCTAAACCCAAAACTGAAACGACCCCTTCTCTCTCAATTGTTCATCTTCCTAGTGGAATCTAAAATCGAAACCAATAACCTTCATGGATGAATTTTTGAGTTAGTCTCAAGAAATTGTAAGTAAAACAAACTGTAAAACTCATCCATGAAATTATTGGTTTCGAGTTTGGATTCCACCAGGATGACAACCAATTGAGAGAGGAGGGATGCTTTTGGTTTTGGGTTCAAAGTTCAAACTCAGCGACGAGTTTGGGAAAGGAGTGCGAGAGGAGAGAAAAAACTTAATTGAGGAGAGAGAGAAGCGTGAATTTACAAATCTTTCCACGTTTTTAACGGAAATGTTAACAAAGAACCATTCATGGAAAATAATATAATAATTGGGGACTAAATTATTGATATTTGATATATATGAACTAAATATGTAAAATGAACTATAACTGAAGATCTTTTATGTAATTTACTCATGATATAAAACTATACTTTTAAAAATTGCATTCTAAATTATACATAATGATACTAAACTTATGTTAGAACTCAATATACATTTTCTATTATTTATGGTCAAAATTTATTAAAACTTGACTTGATATTTCAAACAAAGCAAACTCTAGGGAGCATCGAGTATCATTCATTAAGATGCAACAATTATTTGAGCATGACAGATTTCATCACAAGTTCTTGGAATTTCCTCTCGGCATTGATTTCTTCAAGAATCACAACAAGTGAAACAATGAAGGCATAATCAACATTGGGGCGAATAGACATGGTGAAGTTATCCTTCCCAAGATACCCACTAAAGAAACTTTGACTTCGATGCATCTGCATATACAGTATAGCCAATGGGACAATTAGAATTTGTTAGGTATCAGGAATTTAAAACCTAAAGAAACCACTAAAGTTTTGTGGACTGAGTATTTTTTTCCGCCCGATTCCGTGGCCACTGGATTCTAGTGACTATAGAAGCAAGTGCCTCTCTACACACCTACGATGCTCCGTTCGTAAAATTGATGATTCCTGCCCCGCCTTACCCCGCCCAATCTCGACCTTAACGCATCCCCCACCCACGACAATTGTACCCCGCAATTTTAGTTGACATTGAAGTCAAAAATTTAGACATTAAAGTCAATTATACTTAGAGGGTGTAATTGATGTATGTGAGGGATGAGTTGGGGTCGGGACTAGGCGGTTTACCGGGAGGTTAGTGGTAGAAATTATCAATTTTAAGAACGGAGCACTGTAAGAGGGCAGTGGCCGGCCACTAGAACCCGGTGGCCACCAAACCTAGCCAATTTTTTTTACCTGAGCAATCATAGTCTTGGTCTCTCCGATGAAAATGTCACAAGATGTTTCAGAGTCACTGGCTTTAACGTAGAAATCACAAACGCCGTCTTCCATGTTTCCTGCCATGAACACGGCAAGCTTAGTCCTGGAACTGGCGGTTACTTGAATCAGTGACGATTGTCTAACGGTGAACAGTACATCTTTTGGATCTATGCTGTCTCCTCTATACGCTACCCATCTTCTGCGTGTTGTTAGTAGCTGAACACTTTAATTGCATTTATTAGTACTTTTAATTACAATATTACCGGTTCAGCATGTACGGAGTATTAATTATAGAAATTATGTTCACACACACACACACATATATCATTTGTCAAAATGATACAATGCTACCATTTGTTTTGTAGTAATTTTCAAATTTATATATCTAAAGGTAGAGTCTCAAAAACTTTTTGAATTTGACCAATTATTTAAATTCTAAAATTTTAAAAGTAACCAAAATTATAATTTTCAAACATAGTCTAATTTTATAAAAAAAAGTTAAAAGCTTGTTCAAAGAAGAAAATTAGAACTTTATTCGTCCATTCAGCGACCACTCTCACTTTCTCTAATCTCTTTTGTCAAGTGGTCTCATAACTAAGGTATGATTTTTTTAATTTTTCTCATTTTATTTAATTATCAGTAATGTATCAATCCCATATGAAATCTTAGAAAGTATAGATTCCGAAAAGTGATCAGTCAAATTGTCCTTAAGAATGCTTGGAGAACTTCACGAGTTATTACTGTATGTAATTATTACCATGGGTTAACCATATATTCCCTCCGTTTCATAAAATCTTCCTCTTTCGTTTTTTTCTAGTTCCCTAAAACACTTTCACTTTCTATTAAAAAACCACTTTTATCCCTACTTTTTCATATCATGTCTATCACATCATACTTTTTCACTAATAACGAACCAAACTATCACAACATCTTACTTTTACTCATCACATCAAGGGCAAAATTAGAAAGTCAACCAAAATTACACTTTTTTTATTTTGGCCAAAGTCAAAATGAAAATGGTTTTAAGGAAAGGAGGGAGTATATTTGTGGGTGGGAGGCGGAGGGAGAAGAAGAAAGGACCTTGTGTTGGAAAGTGAGGAGGGGGTTGTCGGCGACGTCAAGGAGAAGACGGCGTTCATGAATCTTCCACATTTGGCCTCGAATGACCTTGAACCATTGGTCGCCGTTGATGTCGTTGACGGAGATCGTGCTTTCCATCAAGCTGCTCAACATCTTCCTCTTCACGTTCAGATCTATCATGTACGGAGCCACGTAGTTTTGGCTTATTACGACCACCGGCTCCGGCGGCGGTGTTGGTGGCGGGTGGCGCACCGCTGTCATCATCATTCATTTTTTTTATTTATAGAAATTACGGAGTTCCAATTCGTACAATTCGCTTATTTAATCTCCAGTGTGATCCATGGTTTTCATTAGCCGCACAAAAATTTCGGGCGCGCAGAAAACTTTGCTCAGCCAACCGTGAAAATAGCCGCGCTTTTCCCCATTCAGCTTCGAAGAAAAAAACTCCGCAAATGCATGTTTCATACGGTGCACCCTAATCGATTATGTCATACTTCCTCCGTCCTAAAATTAATTTCTCATTTTGACTTTTGTAGTCAAAGTTTTTAAACTTTGACTTTATATTACGGAAAAAATATATTGAATTTTCATATAAATTTAGTATCAATAGATTAATTTTGAAACATAGTTTTGAAATATATTGTTTTGATAATATATATTCATATAAAAATGAAGATATTAATGGTCAAAGTGCCGCATTGAAGACCGTGAAAAGTCAAACGGGAAGTTAATTTTAGGATGGAGGGAGTATCAATTTGGAAAGGGGCATCCTAAGCTACACTAAAATATGGGATACCCCATTTGTACACCAAACAAACTTTTAAAAACAAAGTGGTTTAACTCAAAATCATACTTCCTCCGTCCCAGAGTATTTGTCCATTTTCATTTTTACATACCATTCAATTCACTTCTTTAATCCATTTTATCTTGTAATTTGTATAATAAAAAATTATAGAAATTATATATTAATAATCTATATGTTAAGACAAATCAAACAAGATCACACATGACTATATTTAGGCTTACACATTGAGAGAATTTGATGAGTCAAAGTGCTTAGATCAACAGTTCCAAAAGTTAAAACTGGACAAAAACTGGGGGACGGAGGGAGTATTAACTTATACAAACTTCAAGTTCCAATTTAAGTTACGTTGCATATTTACTAATCACACAGTCAAATTTTAAGCATATTTTTTTTATCCATTTTCACTACCCATTTGAAAAGATAATATTGGAGGAATTTACCTAAATAAAACTAAAATATAATGACTTTCTCAATATAGGAACATATGTTTTTATTTCTCAATGTAAGACGACTGGTCATTATCCATTAGCCATTATTTAAGTAATTGTCCATTATCACTGAATATTATTAAGTCTTATTTAGAAAATAAAAAAGTTTAAGTCTAACATTGGGAAATGACTTACTCCCTCCGTCCCATAAAAAGTTACCCATTTTGACTAAAGTTGAAATTAAGGGAGGGATAATTTTGTGTTGACTTTTCAAAAAAACCCTTGATGTGATGGGTAAAAGTAGGATGTGATGTGTAGATTATTAGGAAAAAGGTATGATGTGATAGGTAGGATTTGAAAAAGTAAGGGGTAAAAGTAGTTTTTTAATAGAAATGGGTAAAGATTTGTGGGACACAATTTTTTTGAAACGTGTAAATCTTTTTGGGACGGAGGGAGTATATTTTAGTCCTATTTAGTATAAATTTCATAATATAATTTTATCACTTCTTGATTTATAGAACTTTTGATGTATTTTTAAAATATATAAATTTTGTTTTTTAATTCTATACTAATTTTAAAATAAATTAAATTAAAAATAACTTCAGTCAATCCTAAAAAACAACAAGAGACGATTTAAATTAGCACGAAGGAAATATTAATTCTTTCTTTAAATGTATGATGTGAATAAATCCATAGAGAGGGATGTGTAGAACTGACATTTATGGAGATGATGATGAAATGATGAAGTCTTGGAGAGGGAATCATCAGGCAGCAATGGATTGAATAAGGTGAAGTGGGCATGATGGGGAAGGCAGGCACATGAAGTACCAACTCAGATTCAATTAAGAACTTCCCCGCGCGCCCCAATCTGTAATAACGTATGATCGAGTTTGTAATGCACGTGCCCTGCTTCTCCATCTTGCTCGACACTCGCCTTCGCTACCCTTCTTATTATCCATCATATGCATATGCATATGCATATGCATATGCATGCTCTCTCTTATATATAGTTTATCTCAATACTATATATATATATATATATATATATATATATATATATATATATATATATATATATATATATATATATATATATATATATATATATATATATATATATATCTGTGTGTGTGTGTGAGATGGAATGTTTTGATATCACTTTTATTTAACACCACTCCATAATTTTCATATGGGATGTGTAAATTTAAAGTGCATTGAAAAATGGTAACACGTAGATCATCTTAAAAAACCACAACAATTGATCGAGAAATCGTTTAGTTGTTCGTTTAATAACTCACATTTTTACATAGTTAAGGAGCGTTGATGTTAGGAGTTACTCCGTATTCATTATTTAGAACGGCCTAAACTACAAGTTCCTATGTAGCAGTTTAGAACGGCCTAAACTACAAGTTCCTACGTAGCAGTTTAGAACGGCACGACTGGATTCAATTCAGACGAAGGGAGTGTGTATACAAGCTCAACTGAACTAACCCCATGAAAGTTAACTTATTGAATGGTTACATCTGTCTTAGAATTTTATCCACAATACCATTCTTAAAAGGGCAACATAGCTAATTGCTATGTGTTGTTACACCTGAACTATACAACACTTTTGTTTTTATTTTATTTTTTGGAACTGGTCCCTGGCCATTTGAGTTGATACATGTCTTCCATAACAAATCCAACTCTATCATTGGGCCCAATCACTTCCAAAACAATAAAGAAATGTTATAGAAGAATAATAATGGGATGAAGGCCAGAGGAAGAAGAAGCTGGTTCACCATTCCCAAAGAAAGCCATCAGCCAAACTGAAATTAGGCCCCGTTTGGTATATGAAATTCAAACTGTAGAATTGGAATTGAGAACTTCAATTCCAATTCTGGTGTTTGGTAGCACAAAAATTATGTGGATTTGGAATTGATAGTGCAAAAAATGAATTGGAATTGGCAGAATTCAATTTTATAGAATTGGATCTCATGGAATTTCAATTCCAATTCAATTCCAATTCCATCAATTCCGTATACCAAACGGACCCTTAGCTTTCTTGTTAATGTGATGTTTTTACAACATTCTTGGGACAGTATGCAATGGCAGGAATACCAATATGAACACAATCGCTAACAGAGAGGATTCGAATAGCATTTGGATCCTGGAAAATGGCGGGTAAAGGAAAAAATGATACAAAAAAGACATTATTTGGTTCCCCCTCCCCCCGGGGAGGATTGTAAAAGAAAAGAAATACAGAGCATGATTTAATGTTTTGAGTACTTTAAAAATGTTCATGTTTCTCATTTTTTGTATGATAGATAATGAAATGTGCTTGAGCATATATCAAAAATAGTTTTCCTTCCAAATTTCCCATATATTTTCCTCTGTTTCGTTTCCCTACAAATTTCCGAGGTCCAAACGCTTCCGGTCAGGTAAAAGGGAAAAATACGTTTTGAAAGCCGCGGAACACACTGAACAAAAATTACATTTCTACAATGTGCTTTTGACTTAAATAACCCTTTGTCTTATTTTAAGAGTCTTCCAAGGACACAACATGAGGCTAAACTAGGGATGACTTACTCAAAGCAATTTGATTCCTTCATCCTTGATGGAGTCAATCACAGCTTTGACTTTTCCATGATACCTCTGGTCCCTCTTGTAGAAAATAGAAACTGCAGGAATGCCTTTGATGCGCAAACGCTCGCCGAGCAGCTTCCCTATTTTGGAAGCAGCAGAAACGTCTCTGGTGTTCTCTTTTGCCGCTGTCATTGCCAGCCTCAGACTCTTCTCTTGTGTGCTTGCAGATGCTGCAACTGTTGCGGTGGGGGTGTGAACCACTTGCGCATTCACATATTTGTTGGTGAAGTGCATCCTCAGTACATAAGGTTTCAGGAACTTTGAAACTCGTTCCGGTCTAATTGGAGGAGGAATCACCATTTCTGCGTCTTTGTGGAAAATGTTTAAAGAATCATGTTGCAGTCCAAATAAAAGCTCTATAAGAATGCATAAACTATTTCACCATAAAGCAACACAAACAAACAAAAGATAAAATGACACTATTTTCAGCTTCACCACACTTGAGGTGAAAAAGGTATGATCTAGCACCACAATTAGGCATGACACGTATCCCAAGGTTATAGCTATATTAGGCCCCATTTGTCATCGGCGTTAGAGAATAGTTAGCATTTTAAAAAGGCTATCTGACGATAACCTTTAGCGTTAGCATTTTCAGAATTAACCATTAAAATTTTATCCAAAATGTTAACGCTAATAAAAAATGTTGTTCCCAAACAATGCCTTAAGCTACTCTTCCCTTCGATGTTTTAGATTCAGCCCATATAACTTCAACTATAGTTTTTAGATCAAGATATGGAATGCAATGTTCTTCCATCCAAAAGGGAAAAAAAGACAAGGGGGTGAAGTCATACAAGAAACATAAAGAAAGAAGCAACTCAGAAGGAGGAAGTGTAAATTCAAAAGGTTCCTCCATTAGCGTATGAAATTCTAATATTCCGTAGAGTATCCAGAATTACCATCACGTGTTCGAATCTGTAGTTTGAAAGATCAAGGAACATACTTTTGTTATGTTTCCTTCCGAGCAGGCTTTTGTTTCCATCATCGCAAACTATTCATGATCAACTGATCATTGCTAAAAAAAATTGTCAATGAAGATGTGTTTCCTTTAACAATATTTGAAAAACAATATTATTGATTTACTATTTTCTGTTAAATCTAATACTTATCATGAACAAGCATTGAAGGATATTGAATTGTGGCCAATAGAACCAGAGACATGAAGATAACAATCTCAAATCTTAACCCTTAAGCCTAAGGTTCAACATTCAAGCCTGTCTTTTGAACCTTAGTAAAGGAACTAAGTTAAGCTAACATATCTTTTTCTCTAGAAATGATTCACTGATTCAGCCTTGAGCCCACCTAGTTCAAACCCGACCCAAGCCGGTTTGATCGCGCAATAGACAACAAAGCATACCTAGTTTTGTCAACCTTATATATAGACCTCCAAACATTCCTAACTAAGATCATACTATAGAAGGCCTCAAAATTAAACAACTCGTAGTAACAAAAAAACAGATTTATTAATCACAAACCATTCCGCTCAAATTTCTATTTATATATGACACACTAATACAGTTTTCTTTGACTAATGTTCTGCCTAACCTGACTGAAGAAACAGTAAAGAACTCATTGCTAAATCATGTGTAAATGTTTATGATTTGCTTTAATTTCCAGTTTCCTGGTGTTCCAATAATGATGGTTATTTCGTGGTTGCAATGAATAAATTTTTTTTAAAAAAAAAGCCACACCAAAAGCATGGACGGGTGATATACGTGCTCTTTCTCTTTCAATTGAGCCAAAGTGCTCACTAAGTGAGCCGGTCCAAAGCATAAACAGGCCCTGTGCGAAAACACAAAAACGGCCCCTATAGACTATTGTATCTAACAAAAGTAAAATTTAAATAAGCTACATTATAATTATTGAATTTGTTACAATGAAGGAGATCAGTTTACATAAAAAGAGACCTCTTTCTGGGATTGTGTAAGTTATAAGTCTTTTTTACTTTATACGTTTGGGAACCATTCGACAAGTATTGTATCACTATGAGAACCAAGGAGTAACTTTTCTATTTTTTTTATATTTTTGATAAAAAATAATAGCAATAATTTTATTTTTAAGAGGAAAAAATAAAAAAAGGCTGGTTTTTGTTATCAAATGACAATTCATTAATCATTCTAAGTAAAAAAATAAAGATTAAATTTCATAGAACTATCGAAGAATAAAACACAAACCGGACAATTAAAATTTAAAAGACAAATAAAATTAGAGATTTAATCAGTAAATAATTATAAATCATACATTCATACCTGAAGAATTGAAGAGTAGAAAATGCTGGAGTGACCTGGACGGCGTCGCGGTGAGGCGGGCAGCCGGCGGCAGCGAAGATGAGGCGATTCGTCTTCGACCTTCGATCGGTCTTGGCGTGCTTAATTGGGTTCCGCCTCTTTGTCCCTCTGCAATACGAGTTACTAGTGTTTTTTGTTTGGGCTTCTAAATGCTCCGTGTATTATAGCTACTAGTTTTAAATAACTGATGGGCCCCTGTTTATAGGCCTTGTGCGGAGAAACACCTACACAGGCCCAGAGTCGCCCCTTCACTCACTTAGGAGCTGTTTGTTTCAGCCTCTTAATGGTTCAAATGTCTGAATGGTTCAGCATTTAATGGTTCTGACTGTTTGTTTCAGCCTCTTAATGGTTCAGATGTCTGAATGGTTAAGAGATTTGCCTTTGAATGGTTAAGTATTATACAGAGTCTGAATGGTTAAGACCTCTTATCTGAATTGATCAGACATTTGCCTCTGAATAGTTAAGCAATATACTAGCTCTTAATGGTTCAGACCTCTTACTGGTTCAGTACTTAATGGTTCAGACCTCTTCCTGGTTCGGCACTTACCTATTCAGTAGTTGCCAAACAGCCCCTTACTCATAGATAATACCAAAAAAAGGATTTTTTTTTAAATTTCCTATTGGGAGCGTCTTAAAAAAACATCTTCTTTACGTTAATAGAAAATTGTGAGTCAATCACAATGTTTCTAGTATTTTCTGTATCATTTTCAATCGTACATTCTTATTTTAATTAAATTGCGTGTCAAATCAAACTGGGAGGTTTGTTTTGAGATGGAGGGGATATTAAAATTTAATCCCTTTGTCCAACAATAAACTTCCAATTTTGAACAACGTTTAAAATTCTATCTTTTTTAAAATTACTTTATTTACATTGTATTTCATAAAGTTTCTGAATTAGTTCTCCATCTCCATTGGTCATAGTAGAATATGACCATCCAACCTCTATGCTTCTCCAAACATGTCCACCGAAGGACTTGAAAAAGGCTCTCATTCTACACTTCCAAAAATTATAATCGTGGCCACATAATAGTGGAGGTCTGAAAGCATTCGAACCTTCTTGAATATCTTCCATGATGATAGATCGATCAAGCTAGCAAATTAAGCTTACATGTTTTGATACCAATTGTAAGTTCGTTGGGTACAGTGGAAATCACCAATTGAAAGCCATGGAAATATATCAAACAACTATGCTGTGGTGAAGATTCTCTCTTCACCAATTGAAAGATTTTCCTCCTCAAGAAAAGTAAACCAAGTAGGATTAGAATTCTCTTTTCAAGCACTTGAAAGAATTATTTGGGAAGAAATTCTTTGTATTTCTCTCTTGTCTTTACAATTTACAATGAAGCCATATATATAGGATCTCACAAATTGAGACTCCTAATTAGTAAAGGAAAAGGAAAGAATCCCTATACAAGAAAAACTACCAAAATAATATATACACAAATATCTCCAAATATTCTCCGAATATATTCTTTTTCCTTTAACAACACTCTAACAGGATTATTCTATTCCATATTTTATCTTCGCCTTCCCTTAAAATTTTGGGCGTGCGAGAATACCGATCTGAAAAAAGAACAGGAGTAGATCCGATCCAAAAATCAAGAAGAAGGTGCAGATTTTCTAGACAACCTGCATGAATTTGATCATCGTCGAAGATCTGACCGTTGGATTTAGCTGAATTTTTAAGAGAGTCTTCCCAACACATAGGACTTCAATTTGTTCAATGTTTACATCAATCGAAGTTATGGATCTTCTTTTATCGCAACGGGTGCAACCTGCATTTTATGGTGATATTCCTGATTTTTCCTTCTCCATTGTTGATGGTTCTCATATATGTTGTTGTTGGTGAGCTGTAACAAGTCGTGGAGATAGACGAAAACAGAGTTTGTCGTCAAGTCATTATGCCACTGTAACACCTTAATCCGTCCAGGTTTGTAGCTCTATTCAGACTAAAGTATTTAACTTGGTAATCGTAAAAATTTAAAACTTTTCAAACACACTTTATTAATCCCAATAATTTTTCATAACATATACAGTATGGAGTATTCAACAATATTGCGGAAGCGAATTTAATTTTGACAGATCATAAATCATTTCAAACTTGTCACATCCATCCCGACAATCTCGCTCCATCTGCTGCCAAGATCACAGTGTTCTTTCTGTTGTACCTGCGTGTAGCAAATAAAACACACTACACGCTCAGCGGTAAAGCTGAGTAAGCATATCTAATGCGTCGAACATCCATATAAACTGAATCTAAATTCATAATCAAATCATTTGATATCATGCACACAATGTTCATTTCAGACATTCACAGTTTTGGTATTGTTCAGTTCATATCAATACATTTTATTCAATTCAGATACTATTNTACCTGCGTGTAGCAAATAAAACACACTACACGCTCAGCGGTAAAGCTGAGTAAGCATATCTAATGCGTCGAACATCCATATAAACTGAATCTAAATTCATAATCAAATCATTTGATATCATGCACACAATGTTCATTTCAGACATTCACAGTTTTGGTATTGTTCAGTTCATATCAATACATTTTATTCAATTCAGATACTATTCCAATAGTGCTCTTAAATTATTCTTAATCTAAGGCCAGATCATAACAACGCTCTTAGATATTCTTAGTCTGAGGCCAGATCATAATAATGCTCTTAGCTATTCTTAGTCTAAGGCCAAATCATAATTTCCATAACCAGATTCTTTTAAGGCAATTATTAATCAGACACTTAAAATATCATTAGTTTAAGGCAATTGATTTCGGACACTTAACTGTAGTCAGTTAAGGCAATCAGACACTTAAACTATCATTAGTTTAAGGCAAATGATTTCGGACACTTAACTGTAGTCAGTTAAGGCAACAACAATATAGCGAATGATCAACATTGGATCGGGCATTCCCAAACGAGTGATCCTCTAGTTTGGACTACGAATCCCGTTTATGCATTTTTATCTAATCCATCAACTATTCATGTTTTCATAAGTTATTCTAAGATCTATGCTAGAGGTCTTCTAGATAGTCTTAACATCAATTAGCTAATAGATATATGTTAAAGTTTTCTAGATATCCTTAACAATACACATCATTTTCTTGTTGATCAAATTATTCATTTTAATCATGGTTCAACCATTATTAATCATTTTAATCAGTAGATTCATCATTAATAATCATCCATAATAATCATTCATCCTAGTCATCAATTAGCATAACATCCAATAACAAGTAGCGGTCTAGTTTCAAGTGATAACACTCTAACTTACTGTCATGCATCACATAAGGTTTTATTTGTTAAAAACATCATTTTCATGGTGGAAAATCATCCTTATAATGATCATAATCAATTGGTATAAAAAAATAGGATTTCATAACTTAAAAACCATGTTTTCTGAACAATAATCGATTAATATATGATAGGAAAATCGATTAATTGCTACTGACTTCAATTTCTTCAGTGGAATAATGTAAAAATCGATTTTTCATGTCCAATAATCGATTTTTGTGTAAAAATAATCAATTTTTGGGTTCTGAGTTCGATTTCCTGACCAGAACGAAAATATAATCGATTTTTCAAGAAATAATCGATTATTAGTCGTCTTCTTCCTCGAGCCAACTTTCGGAAATGTCATTTTTAGTCACCAAACTTCAATTAAAGTATATAGAAAGGTTCTCCAAGGTTCATAGATCATTTTGGTACCATTAGTTTGTAGTTTTAACAACAATTTCAAAGTTTATGATTCTTGGTTTTTCAAACATGTCAAACACAAAACTCAACCAAATGAATGTTTATGAACGTAGAAACGATCTATATGAACATTCTAGTCACTAGATATATCTACGAGCTTACCTCGAAGCTTAACAGAGGTTTTGGAAATTTTTTGGCGAAACTTCCGGCGATGATATCTCTTAGCTCCGGCGATTCCACACCAAATTGACAACACCAATGAACTCTCCACTCAACAAGGAACACAATGATACTGAACTTACTAAGTTTTGGTGCAAAAATGGAAGTTGGTTCTCCTTCCTTAAATAGGAAGAATGAAGAAGAAGGAGACAATGGTGAAGTGGTGCTGCGTAGGAAAGTTTCTAGTGCGCTGGGAGGCGCCATCTCCACAGTGTCCCTGATTGGGACCAATTTTGGTTCCAGTCGGGGTAAACTTTTTGGTCCAACTTTCTCCAAATTGAAATCCGTTCGCACCGTTGCAATCAGATAGTCGAATTCTATTCAACGATATACTTTTCATAATTATTTGTAATACTTTTTTCGACATCATATTTTTGGGTGGTTGACTTTGATAGAGTAAAAATTGGTTTAATTGACCTTTCTCATAAAAGGTTCTCTTATTTAATTCATATCAATTATTCTCATGATTTATTTTAACAAATCATTTAAATATTTACATTATAAACAAATTCTTCATTTACTCTTGATTTGGGTCTGTACTATGGTTCTCAATCAATATCACACAATTAGTCAACATATTGGATTTTCTTTATGAGACTTATCCAGATTTTGATATTGGAAATTAAAACATACTTCATATCGGCCCAAAGCCCAACAATAATTTATTTTAATCAAAACAAATTTGATTAATTGAATTATTCATTAATAATTTTAGGATATGTTTTGGGGCGTTACAACCACGGTATCTTCTCTACAGCATAGTTGTTTGATCTGTTTGCATAGCTTTCAATTGGTGATTTGCGCTGCACCTCACGAACTTACACAAACTAAACAAACTTTGTTTTTAGCTTTTTGGAAACGCTCAAACAAGTATAGTGAGGTTGGTAAGCTTTGTTCTTGTAATGAAAGGTTAGTACAACAATAAAAGACTTAACTGACACATGGAAACAATTGGGATGAGTATGGGCAAGGCTAACATAGGGCTCAAATATCCAACAAATAAGAAGAAAATACATTATATATTGTAATAGACTAGAGAGTATATCATTATGAATCGTGACAGGGTGACTTCAAAAGATTGATCTCAATCATGACCCTATGTTTTGAATAGACCACAAAGACTATTATTGTAAGTGAAACATAGAAAATACAATTTGTGTAGTCTATATAGAGATTGGAGTCATTGTTGAGATTATTTTTTTAGATCACTAAACTACTTTATTGATATTATTATAGTTATAAAAATGTTAGAGGTATACCAAAAAAATACTCCCTCCGTCCAAAAAAGAACTTTCCGGCTTGACCTGGCACACATATTAATGTGTGATAAAAATGGCCTTGACTTTCCAATTATACCCCCACACCTCAACACTTCTCCAACGCTGAGCCTCTTCAACATATCCCTCCGTCCATCATATCTGCCCTTGCAACCACCAGCCAATGACCCTCAAGCACCGTCGACGGCAAATCTCAGGCACCACCAACGGCGGATCTCCGGCGTCACCACCATGGATGGCCTCTCTAGCGCGTGCTTATTCCCCCAGCTCTTTTGTAATCCCCACCTTTTAGATCTATTCTAGTTTTCGTTGAAGACAACCTGGGCAAGGGTGAATATATTGAGTCCGAGAGCTTAACGGCGAGAGGCGGGTTGGGAGCAGATCCAACTGCGGAGATCTACGGAATCGATGGAGGACTTGTAGATCTATGGAATTCATGGAGACTATGTTAGAAGAGGAGCATATCCAACTGCGGCGTCACCTCCAACCATTGTCTTGCTGCTCCGGCGTTTCCTTGATCGCCATTTCCGTGCTCCCAATCAGTAGATGACAGGACAATTAAAAGGCGGAGAAACAAAAAAAAGAAGAAGAAAAAAAGAAGAAGAAAAAAAGAAGAAAGAAGAAGAATACGAAAGCAAAGAAGAAGAAGAATGAGAAAAGAAAGAAAAAAGAAAGAAGAAGATGAAGTACAGTGACGGAATGAAGAGGATAAGGACACAAGAGAATGGATGGTGGTGGGTTGACCGACTGGGAAAAGAAAGAAAAAAAAGAAAAGATAAGGAGTGGAGAGTGAGGGTAGTTAAGTCTTTTCACTATAAAAAAGTTTCCAAAAAAGAAACGAGAAGTTTATTTGTGGACGGACGAAAAAGAAAAGTAAAAAGTTTATTTATGGACGGAGGGAGTACCTTTAAGTCTACTCCAAAGACTCTTCAACAAACAATTTAAGTATTGATAAAAATCAATTAGTGAATAAAGAATGTAGGGTGAAAATTAATGGTGTATAAATTTGGTATACCGTGGCATTTACAAAAATAACCCAAAAGATGGATTGTGATTAGTGATGAGCTAAAAAATCAATTTTTTTTGGGGAGGAATGAAGAAGGAAAGAAGCACTATGATGAATAGTGGAGTGCTTCGTCTAGAAAATCAACAGCCCTCAATTCCGCCATCTCTACTTTCGCATCTTTACCTTGGACACTTTCTTTCAAGATGGACTGCCAGGTTATTTCTTCCTGTTCGTTTATGCATCATCTATTTCTGTATGCTTGCGGTGATTGATTCATGTTCAGTCTCAGCGTACTTTTCTTCTTCGAATTCACGCAGTCATCTATCCCTTCAGAATGAAAAAGACAAACAGAATTAGATGTGAAATGACATTTACAATAATTTTAATGGTTTTTTTAAGAACTGTGAAGTAGCAAGAATCTTGAAACCCAACAAAATGTGTGGCTTTGGTTTGCCTTTTAAAAAAGGTGATTCTGTTTTTAGAACCAGATGATTATGAAAGCCACGAGAATGAGGGTTTGCTCTTTTTGTGTTAATTTTGATTGCAGAGAATGAGGGTTTGATTGACACTAAATTTCATGGTACCAACCTCCACATAGTTGGGATTAAGGTGAGATAATGATGGTATTAGAAGTTGAGAACTGTAGGGGATTCTAAATCAAACTAAAAGGTTTGTGTATTAATGGTGCTAGATTTAACTGTTAATAAAACTAAATCGCCCTTGCGTTATAGTTGAGGAACAAAGGCTTGAATTTCTGTTCGATTTGATTAAGAAAAATTTCCCCGATTGCAGAATGTGGGAGTTTTCTGTGGGTTTGTATATGATTCATCTTTTTCCCAATTCTTTAGTCCTTGCTGCTGTTTATGGTGCTGTCGAGACAGCTTCCACCGCATTGCTTGGACCAGTGGTTGGAGATTTGGTAGATAAGTTGGCATATCCTAAGGTGTTTGCTCCATACCCTACTCTAATTCATTGCCTAATTTATGCACACTCACACACACACATGAGAAATGAGAATGGTTCATTTTTGCTTCCTCATCGTGCATTTTATGAATACATTAGTTTATTTTTATAATGACAGAGAAGTTTGACTTATTTACTAATATGCAACCACATTTTTTTATTTTTCACTTACTCACAATCCTTAGATCCAAATCCAATGGATCATATGCATTCTCATTTCCGTGTGTGTGTGTATATATATGTATATATACATGTATGTATGTTTGTATACACACACACGCACACCCACACCCACACCCACACACATGTATGTATTTATAGAAAATCAATCTATGTGTGTATGTGTTATTTTATATTTATATCTTCAGGTTCTCAAGTTATGGCTATTATGCAAAAATCTTTCGTTTACGGTTGCTGGTGGTGCAATGATTGCTCTTTTGGTTCACTCAATCAACTTTAGGGCATTTATGTTGCTCATAATATTGGTTAATATCTCCGGAGCTGTTGCTACGCTTTCCACTATGGCAGGGACAATATTGATTGAAAGAGAATGGTGATCCAAGCTAATAGCCTAAATCAGTGTGGAATTTCAGAATCCAAAATACGTAGTATGACTTATTTTAGAGATGCACTCATTTTGCAGGGTGGTGGTGATATCAGAAGGCCATACTCCCGAGATGCTGACGCACATGAATTCAACAATACGACGTATAGATTTAGTCTCCAAGTTATTTGCTCCTGTCATTTCGGGGTCTATCATAAGTTTTATCTCTCTAACAGCATCAGCCATGACCCTAGCACTGTGGAACTTAATATCGGTTTGCCTAGAATACTACCTCCTAACATCCGTTTACAATGGGATTCCAGTTTTAAGAGAATGCAGCCTTAGAAGGGTCTTAAGATCTTTACCAAACAATATCGAACTTAACCCTTCCGTTAATCACGAAGAGGAGAGCTTGCTTAATGTAGAAAAAAATGAATCTGAAAGCAGCAGGTGGGTAAAAATAAGGGATCGTGTTTCAAGAATCCTTTATGTCAATGCTTGGAAAGTCTACTTGCAGCAAGATGTACTTCTCCCGGGGTTAGCTCTTGCACTTCTCTACTTCACTGTACTCAGGTAAGTTTCAACAACATATGTAGTATATTGGCCATAGTCAAAGAATACTTTGGTTAGTTAATCAACTTTTTTTACTTTATTTTTCTGGCAGCTTTGGTTCCTTAATGACGGCTAGACTTGAATGGGAAGGCATTCCTGCATATGTTATTGGGATTGCACGCGGGATAAGTGCAGCAATAGGGATAGCTGCTACATTTTTGTACCCTTTTTTGCAGTCTCAAATTTCAACTGTTCGTACGGGGCTATGGTCAATATGGTCTCAGGTACTCCCTATCCAAATATCTACCAGTATGTAAGTTCTATTTCCAAAGGGCTCGTAATTCATAAAAATTGAAAAAAATGGCGGGCAAAATCATTACGATGACCTTGATTCTGGATTGGTTTTACCTTATTGTGTAGTGGAGCTGCCTCTTGGTATGTGTAGCTTCCATATGGGTAAATAAGAAACTGATATCAGCATACATGCTTATGACCGGAGTGGCTGCCTCACGCCTGGGGTTATGGATGTTTGATCTTGCAGTCATTCAGCAAATGCAGGTAGACATGATATACCAAAGGTGTTTCTTTGTGCTAGTGCTTATTGACTTATTGTTTTTAACTTATAAGCTGCTTATATGCCAAATATTCTTTCGTGGAAGTAAAATGACTTAAATGATATATAAGTCATTTGAGAATATTCATAAACGGTGAGAGAGAGTTTTGTAAATAATCTGGTCAAAACAGAGAAACAAAAAAATTGGCTTTAAAAAAAGTAACCCACTTATTTTTTTTGACTTGTAAGTTAAAAACTGCTTATAAGCAGTTTTGACCAGCTTATAAGTATAGAGAAAAACCCACATCATCATATTAAATCCAATTGAGACTGGTGAGGGGTTGTCCATTTCGGCGATGAATTGAGCTTGAAAACCGCTGTTTTGCTTCTTCTTGAATAGGATGATGGTGCAGAAAGTGATCGTTGTGTGGTTGGAGGGGTTCAGAACTCACTGCAATCTCTATTTGATTTGATGACTTATTTAGCAGGCATCATTGTATCAGATCCTCAGGTAACCCATCTTCCCACTCTGAAATTTAGATAAAAAAAATGCTTTGGGTTTGATCCGAAAAATATCTATCTTGTTTTACCATAAAGACTGAATGAAACTCAAGATACAATTTGTCAGCATTTAACTCTTTATACATACTCTAAAATCACCTTGTTTATATATAGTATTTTGGTGCATTTTGTCTAGGACTTCTGGGAGTTGATATTGGTATCCTTTATGCTTGTGACTCTGGCAGCGGTTTTGTACAGCATACACGCATATCGCATCAGGAAGCACCTTTTCCATTTTGAGAAATTACGTTTCATTCGTCGCCAATTCTATTGTTGTTTTGGTTTGGACGATTGATCAAATGGTCACTCGGCAAGCAGGACCGGGTAATGTCGACTAACCTTTTGTACTACTCCGTATAAAAGTCTGTATGGACTAATAAAGTAATAATCCAGGAACATTATTACAGAATATATTTTGGTTTACTTAATTTTGGTCCTTAATTTTTTTTTTCTAAAAAAAAAATACCAATATTAGTTACATAATTAGATATGCATTCGGACTTACCTGAAGTGTTGTACATCTAAAAGTTATAATGACTTTTTTCACGATAAAATGTGCATTCTTTACGAAAAAAGAGCAAAATTAAAAATTCAAGCGTGATAAGAGGAGGAAATATATCCTTCAAATGAGTTTGAAATGTAAAATATATCCTTCAAAATAAATCATTTTTAAGAAATTAGAAAATAGAAATGAGTTTGAAATGTAAAATATAAACTTCAAATGAATTTATCATCCATGTCTAAGATATTTTTAACAATTCATTTTAATTTCTTTACTCACTATGGAAAGGGGACAAATGAAAAAAAAAGCGGATAACTAATTCTGCATGGATATATTTAAACTAAAGATGAATTTGTTTGGGGAAAAAATATTTTCTTGAAATTTTTTGGCAAGAAAATATTTCAAAAGAAAATATTTTGTCTCATTCAAGAGAGTAATTTTTGTTTATTTCAAAAAAAAAAAAAATCCTACC